ACTTGCATTGTCAAGACCACCCCTAAATGCTTGAACCTCTGAGTTGGGGTGAGATGGCATTTGGCTGCATTGAGCATGTAACCATGGGATTGCAGCGGACCCAACCCGGGAAGTCTCAGACTCTGCCCAAACAAGCGGGTCGTCCAGAAAGGGTTGAACGTGGTGGCCATGATGCCCCTAACACCTTGGTGAAGACCCTCAAGGAGAAAGTGAGCCCGAAGGGAAACACTGCCAAAGACAACCCAGCATGCTAAAGCACAGGACACACCGATGAGTTGCCACTGCTGATTCACAGATATGCATCCATTAGATATATGAATTCCAGCCAATCCAGGGGCCTTGCAGCCCTTGTCATGGCCACCAAGGATTCGAAAACAATGTTATGCCTCGAGAGCCCACATCCAAAAACTTCATCTGAAGCATCCATAGAATGCCGGGCCACCTGCAGATCGTGCCGGATCTTGAGAAGCTGTCCTCTCTCAGCCTGGCTCCATCGTGCCTGGTTCCCAGGCAGTTAATGGGTCATGATGGTCGGTTAATTTGAGCAAGACTCCTCCGTGCGTCGTGCCATGTGCACCACCATTCCTGCAGCCTACCATAATTCGCGAGCTGTTACCCGTCAGCTTCTTCTCGCGGTGTGCTTAGGCTCGATCAGCACTGCACAACCTGGGGTACGATATTACTCGTCCCCTAGCTGGACCTAGCACCAACAGCTAGTAGCTCCTAGTGCAGGAGTTACAAGCAGTTCTGGGCGATAGCTTAGACATCTAAAAAACAGTCTTCCTGGTGGCGGGGGGACATGTAATGAGGGGGTTCCCCTCACCCCACCTCTACCCTGGAGGGACGGGGAACCCCTATTAATATTTCTGAGAGCCAATGTGAGGTTCAGGGTTTGAGACAAAGAAACTTGTATGTGGTATTGGCAGTCAAATGATCACCTTCAACTTGTATTGGTAGGTTGATTGGGGTGCAACGGTAGGGAGCTGTTAACTACCTCGCCTGGTTTTCAGGAGATCGTGGGTTCGATCCCGATCTTGACGCCTGTATATTTGGAGCTTGTATTTTCTCCCCGTGTTCGCGTGGATTTTTCTCCAGGTCCTCCTGTTTTTTCTCTCTACATTTTGAAACGTGCATTTAGAGTATGTGGCTGCTATACATTTCCATGTGATAAACCACTTTGTTGAGCTATCATTTGCGGCCAGGTCGCATCTGAAAAAAAGAGCTATAAAGCTGAGTGGGTCTTACCTTGTAAAATAAAAATAAATATATCTAGTTTTAGTTTGATATAATTCATGTCATGTTGTGGACAGCCATCCTAGAGAGTGCATGGTCACATGACCTTGCACAATTACTGATAGACAAGTTGGGATGTAACGTATTGACTGGTGTACTGGGGCTTGACTACAGAGACACTGCATACAACCCACCATACCAACGCAATTTACAGAAGTGAATTCTCATTATGCAAAAACGCACATATATAGTGGTTTGGCAGTACTGTGTGAGTTAATGGAGGTTTTATAAATTATTTTTAGAAATGTATGCATACATTACACTGCATGTTATCGATGGTAAAGTATACCCAGTGTGGAATGGTTATGTAGTTAAGTTACAATGTTGAGCATTCCTTTAACTACTAAATTGGAAATGCTGATGTCCTTTAACTTATCGTATGTTTTACTTTACACTTTGAAAACGTACCTTTTGGTTGATGAGTTTTTCAAAGCAGTGACCATGATTTGTAGTTTGATGTACACGCAATGTGTTGAGCTATAGATGTCCAGGAATATTAATGGTTTGAATTAAACAAGCTATAATTACATTACCCGTATGTTGCTCAACATTGTTTAACATTTTACTTACTACCTTTGAGTGACAATTATCAGCTAATCATTTGAAATTATATTCGATGAGTTTTTATTTTGAAGATGTTTTCAAATAAAAGTATGCTTAGGGAGATGCGATTGTTTTTAGCTGAATGTATCCTGCTCTCAGTGTGTTAATATGGAATGTGTTGTTTAGTGCTGCATCCAGTCTTCAGTGATTCTCTAATTACTGGGCTTGAAAATGTATTTTAAATATATGTTCCCATTTTTGAGCTGAACTAATCCATGATTGAATTATACATGATGCTGATGGTAATTAGTATTAGGTTGCTTAATTTAATAATTAAATGTGATTTAAATGACCATTAATAGTGTATTTACGAATATCACGTGCAAGCATTCATGATGCGATGATTTCTTTTTTATAAATAAAATTTATGGGGTGTAGGGAGCTCTGGGTAGAGGTTGTACCTTTGTTTTCTGGTAGCTGCACTCAATTTTTGAGTGGACGGAAACACTGGTCCTCATCCATCTCCTAAATCTCTGACGTCTGGCTCCTAGTGCCACACCCCGGTAAACCGCTTCAGCTGGCGGGCTAAACGACGCGAGGGGGTGATGTCAACACTGCATCACTGGGCGAATGAACTCCCACGACGGAGTCACCGGCCAGGGCGGAAGGGTCTCGTTAGGACCCAACGGCCAAGTGTTCGGGACTAAGGCGCGCCACTTCGTTACTGTGGACTGCGGCTGTGGCCTACCAGCTATGGTTTGAAATAGCAGGGAAGGTGGATCTCTTCAGCCTTGGAAGGCCGTCTACCTAGGAGAAGGAAACTCTGATGTAAAACCTACGGCCCGAGGACCTCGCTGTCACCGTCCCAGCTTGCTAGGCCATGGCAGACGAACCCCGGGTTTAGAGGGTGGGGTCAGTTCTGCGCACACTGCACTCCACTTGAAAGCTCCTTGCGCAGGCAAGAAGGAAATCTTCACGTCTACCCCCCCCCCCCCGGTCTCACTAAGTCCTGTAGCGATGGGAAAGGGGCGAACTCGGCAGGTGTAAGATGACACTGGCAGCCGCAGTCTCAATCCTGCATGCAGGCGGCTCAGACGCAAGTGGTCGTCTGATGATGACCTGGAAACGACATCATCACCCGGCAGCACCCTGAGCGACCAAGCAGCCTTTTCTAGGGACAGCACTGCTTGCTCCACACGGAGAGGGGCCTAGAAAAGGTGGCCTAAACAAAGCTCGTCTCCTCCTCCCTCAGTTGGCTTACCGCGGTCAACGGGCATCTTCATATGCGGTCGAATTACATCAAAGAATCGACGGCGCATCCCACTCGCCTTAAAAGGTGGGAAAGGACTCAAACTCGCATGCTGGAACATCAGAACCATGCTAGACTCAGCTGACAGCACTCGACCTGAGCGATGATCTGCTTTAATTGCACACGAACTCGCTCTGCTGGATGTTGACATCGCCGCCCTCAGCGAAATCCGCTTTTCAGAGGAAGGCAGTCTGAGGGAGCATGGCGCAGGTTACACTCTCTACTGGTCAGGTAAACCAGCGACAGAGAGACGCCGTTCAGGTGTCGGCTTCATGATCAGGGACTCTATCGCTACCAAGCTTGCAAGCCTGCCAACTGGCCACTCTGACCGCATCATCTCAATGCGTCTACCACTTCGTGACCAACAACACGCAACGCTGCTCAGTGTGTACGCTCCAACTCTCCAGGCAGATCCCGCTGATAAAGACAAGTTTTACTCCGACCTACGCAGCCTTCTGCAGGATATCCCAGCTGACGACAAGATTGTCATCCTTGGCGTACTTGGAAGGCACGGCGTGGGCAGCTGCAACGACAATGGACGCTTGTTACTTGAACTCTGTGCGGAACAGCAGCTTTCCATTGCCAACACCATCTTTCAGCAGAAAGACAGTCTGAAAACAACCTGGATGCACCCTCGGTCAAAACATTGGCATCTCATAGACTACATCCTTGTGCGCCAGCGTGACCTAAAAGATGTCTTTCACACCAGGGTAATGCCCAGCGCCGAGTGTCACACAGACCACCGTCTTGTCCGCTGCAAACTCAGCTTTCACTTTAAACCCAGACCAAGAAACGGTGGCGCCCCGAGGAAGAAGCTCAAAGTCTGCAGCCTTCAGTCTGCCGCGATCAAAGCAGCTTTCCGGAAAAGCTTACGATCTAGGCTAGAGGAACCGAGCTGCCTAGGAGACTCGCCTCCGATTCCTGAAGTGCTGTGGGACCGCATCAAAACTGTTGTTCTGCAAACATCTGAAGATACCCTCGGATTCTCCACGAAGAAAAACAGAGATTGGTTCGATGAGAACAACTTAGAAGTCCAGGAGCTGCTGTCAAAGAAGAGATCAGCACACCAGGCCCACCTCGCCCGACCATCCTGCCCGCACAAAAAAGCAGCCTTCCGCCTGGAATGCAGCACCATCCAGCGCAAGCTTCGAGAGATTCAGAACGAGTGGTGGACCAACCTCGCAGTAAAAACTCAGGTTTGCGCTGATACTGGCGACTACAGGGGATTCTACGAAGCCCTAAAAGCGGTATATGGCCCCTCGTACCAAATCCTGAGCCCCCTGCGGAGTGCAGATGGGAAAAAACTGCTCACTGAAAAGGAGGGTGGGCAGGGGCTGGGTGGGAAGGATGGGGAGGGGCTAGGTGGGGAGGGTGGAGAGGGGCTGGGTGGGGAGGGTAGGGCTGGGTGGGGGGGTGGGAGGGGTGGGGTTGGGTGGGGAGGGGCTGGTCACCCCGTGGTGCCCTTATAAAACTCAACGTTTAACCTACTCATGCCGGCTTGTGCCCGCCCTCACAGTCGGCCATATTTGCGGAATACACCACGCCGCCGTTGACCCTGGCCATTGACCGAGCAACCCAACGCTCCTACCAGCTCCCTCCACAGCAGGAATGTGTTTTGGCGCCACTGGCGCCACCATGGGATTGTGGATTGTTCACCACTGGAGGAGGTTAATCAAAGTCGGCTCGTGGTATTTGCATTGCGCCATGCAAACGAGGCCGTGCTTCTTTACAGAACCCAGTGTGCGACGCGCGATGATGAAAATGTCAGTTGAAATCAGAAAAGGCCAGTTAGATTCCTTTATTGTTTTAACCAGGTGACAGAGCGCAACTGCGATCAGCACGGTTGGCTGTGTACGGTGCGATAGAAGTTCAACATACATAGATTGAAACAACACGCCTTTTGAAATGGAATGCTAGGTTAATGTAGGTGAATTTAATCACTTGCCAACAAGACCTGAGGAACAATAGTTTACATAAATATGAGTTTTAGAACAGAAATATACAAGAGTAACATGACATTAATTAGGTACAAAAAACTAGCTTCATATGCAAGATGTAAACACATTTATATTAGTACAAATGATAACAGTTGAAATTAAATAAAACATACTTGAGGTAAATAAATAGAACTCTGCATCATTATAGTAAACTTTAAAGATCTGTATCATCCCTAAAACCACATTTTGGTCCATGGGTCAAAAGGTCGACCACTTCAATTTTTTTGCACTGGCACTTTTGTCATTTGGTGAATATTTATTCGTTTGATAAACAAAAAATCACCTCCATATTCCCTTGAGATGGAATATTTGCATGGGTGCCGAGGGTGCCAAGAGACCCATGGACAGAAATGGACCAAATCGTTTTTCCTGGTAATAAGCAGATCCTGGACCATCTTTTTGGTTCTTCACAATTCACCAAGACATGAAAAAAGAAAATTATTTGTGTATTTACAAATATTAACTTTGTGCAATAAAATAGATCAGCTGATAAGCGTGTACAGTGAATTACACACCAAATATTATCATGCTCATGAGACTTAACCACAGTTTGCAATGATGCGGGTTCCAGATGTGGACCTGTAGACAGAGCAACCTGCCATGGCAAAAATGACAGCAACTCGTTTTGAGAAAAAGAACTGACCTATGTCATTTCCTTTTAAAAACGATAAACATAAAAAAAGTTTTACCAAGTAAGCCCCACTGAATCGTATAATAGCTCTTTCTTCAGAAGCAACCGGGTGACGAATGATAGCTCAACGAAGTGGCTCATCGTGCAGAAATGTATAGCAGCCAAATACTCGGAACGCATGTTTCTAAGTGTGGCAGGAAACACTGGAGGACCATTTTCAATAGCCTACCAGAATAATTACAAACATCAAGGTCATTGTGGAAGGTGGGAATGAGTTTGCTCAACGATAAACTAATGCAGCATGGGAAATTGAATCGCAACTCATGTAAGGTTATTATTGGAGCTGTGCCCTAGTTTATAATGGCATGAATGTTGAATAATTGGTTTTGGAAGTGCAGGTTCATGACATTGGTAGTGAAGTTTTGGAGTGGGAATATTCCCATAAAGAGTTGAGCATGTATATTTCTATGTATATACACATGCATCTGTGATATATTGCACATCTAGTAGGTTAACGTGTTTGTATAATATATGTTTTATTTTTTATGTGTACATATACTTCTATAACATTTGACAATATAGTCATTTATATATATAAGATAGAGGTTTTCATTTACGTCATTTCTTTACCATCGCTATATTTATTTCTTATTCACAGTCTAAACCAGATGAAATATTGCAGTTCGTTAATACTGCCAACACTATTCGTGCATTGGTGGCATAATATTTTCAACACGCACATATAAGAACACACGCATGGAAAGTATAAGTACGTAAGTGCAGAAACAAACGTGACAGATTCACATTGGAATTCCACGCAGTGCTGCATGTTCCATGTGAAAGTTCTGGAAACGCAGTCAATCAACGGACTTTCAGGAAAGCTACTGCCATTGTTTTGTTCACTTTCGCCTTTTTCAGTTCATCCATGTCACTTCATGCCACTATGCATTAAACCCCAAGCAATGCCCAACCAAGAGGTCACCATTCTCTTGGCTCTTTAATGCTAAAAGCAGACACACACAATCTTGCTCTTTGTTACTGCGCACAATAATGTCTCTCAATAGAAGTTGAGTGTAGCCTTGGGCTGACTCAATGCTTTCTGTGTATTTGGAAATGCACAACACAAAGCACTTCATGCAAGCACTTGCATGAAAGCACAGCCAACTCTGCACATGGTGGAGAATCGCGTGGCAAACACCTTTCCAAATACACCTGGCTGAGCGGCAGGGTTGTTAGGCCATCACTGGTAAACCCACCATGCTCTACCCATCCTGCAATCAATGATAAATAATTCACAGTACAGGATTATTTGCTAGAGTCTGCATCATATAGCTCGAATGCGCAAAGCCATTAAGACCCTTTAATGTTCTTATGCAAGCGAGAGCTGAAGTCAATTTAAAATCTCAAATCAGCATGTGATGGTATCCATCTCTATCGGTGCCCCCAAGCTCGTGGTGTTAATTCCACATTACAATGCGAAGTATCAATCTCACCAAAGCACAACCACTGCCGACTTTCTACAAAGTGGTGTTCATGTTTTTGGCCAGGATTTGAACTGGCAACCTTCTGACGCAGCAGCACTTGGACAGATTAGACCTTACCAACTGGAGCAAAACTGTATATTCACTGATGCAGGAGATGACTGCCCTGATATTAAAAGTACAGGGCTGTAAAATGCACTTTGAGATATAAAAGAAACGAAAGCCCCAAAGCCTAATAAAATGCTGGTTTAATGGGACAAAATATCAAGATTGGATTTCCCGATGTATTAATTATGTAACACTGATGAGAATTAAATTATTTAAAGACAGATGCCTCACTCTTCATTCGTGAATATTTTCAATAAAAAAAACAAGATTTTGTTTGATTTTTAGGTGCCAGTGACAGTCCACATTGTAAATTTGACATTTGATAAACAAATCGTTCATGAACAATTTACAACTCCGTGGCATTCATCATGCCAGGTGGTGCTGTAGTGAGAGAAGCTTGACTCATTATTGGAAGGTTGTGAATTTAAGATTTTAAAAAAATGGACTCAATGTGTATCCGGCGGTTGCGAGAGACTACACTCGAAGTGGGGGGGGGGGGGGGTATTCTACAGGCTGTGTCCTTTGGGGCAGCGACTCTTTCTGTAAGGAGTGTACTCGTTTGGGAGTGGGGAGGGGGGGGGGGCATTTATACTCAAGTATGGGACGGGAGTAGAGGGAAGGAAGTAAAAAAGAAACAGGTGAGGGTGGGGGGGTCCAGGAGCGGCTGCCAGATGAGTGGAGGGGGGTGTTAGGGAACTACAGACCGAAGAGCTTTCCTCTCATTTTGAGGCCTTCTATTCGGGGGGTACAGTAGTCAACTACTTCCTTCTGTTTCAGAGCCTTCTAGGGGTTTCTGGGTGGGGGTGGGGGGGACTAGGTTGAGTGGACAGGAAGGTGGGTATGGTTCGGGAGATAGGGATATAATTCCATGTAGGAAGCGAAGTCGAGATATCCTGTAGGTGCGGTGGGGAATTCCTCTGGAAGAGAGTGGGGAGGGGGGGGAGGGATTATTTACACCTAGATATCTGATCTGGGTTGGCCACCATCTGAATGGCGAGAGTGCGTCTGGAGGCTTGGGAGAGACTGGGGAAAGTGGCATTAGTTCCGATGTCATTGAATTCAAATCACAGCCAGAGGTCGTGGGTTCGGATACGGTTGGCAGGATGTCGTCTGCGTCGAGATTGATTTTTTTTCTTTCATCGCCTTGCGTATTCCGAAAATGCCTAGACTGGATCTGAATTCCAGTGCAAAGAGAAAAGAGGTGGGGGGGGGGGATGCCTTGCCTCGTGCCTCGACTCAGTTGGAAGCTGTTGGGTTTGACTGTCGCAGGAGGGTTTGGAGTATAGCTGCTTGCAAGTGTCTATGAACCGAGTGGGGAATCCGAATTTTCCAATGGCCCTTGGCAGCTATGTCAATTGCATTTTATTAGAGTTCTGATGTCAAATCTCTGCTTCGATTAATCATGTTTGAGTTTCGCTGACTAGGCTCAAAAGAAAGGTGTCTCTGGTGTGGAGCAATCAGTTTCAAAGACAATGCATTTCTTATCAGAGTATGTTTTTTGTTTGCATTCTGGCCACAAGTATTGTGGTTAATGCAGACATGATTCCTTGTAAAAAGGTTTCAGTTTATTTTGTTGACAGAAAAAAGGGGAAAACCTATTCTCATTATCACGATAATGGAATTACATCACGGGACAGATGATCACATAATTTAACAATCATAATTTGGGCTTGTATAGTTTCTAAATGTCCTTGCGCAGGGTGTTAGAGGCCATTTCACCTCCGTGTTGAATACATCTGCGCTGTACTTATCGTCACATTGTTGTGGAACCGCCCATATGAATGCCTATACCGATACCTGCCAAGTAACATTCAGAATCAATCTGTAAACGCACGATCGAGTTCGTCATAGATCTGTCGAGACCCAGGTGTCGTCAACCTGCGGCTCCGGAGACGCACGCGACTCTTCAAGGACCGCTGCTTCGTGACGTTATTAAGGGCCACCATCTCGTATTTACCACGTGCATTGAGAGTCTTGAAATTTTTAGTTTTTTTTACCCCTGGTCTAGACCGACATACTGGTCATTCTAGTCCTATCAAAGACCAGTACATAGTAGTCTCTGTACATTCATATATAGTCTGTCCAGTCTGGCACCAACCTCATGCTATGGTGGACTAGTTTGTAAGTGAATGCCCTGTGTAAACACGCATATATCTGTACTGTGTAGCCCTATGGGTGATGAATACATAATCAGCATGTCCCATAATGCAAATGTCTCATTATCCGTATACCTGCCTAGTCCTGTTGATAACAACCTCTACATGACTTCTATCCCTGCTCAATCCTCGCCCCAAGTCGATGCTCTCAAACTTTCTCACTGTTTGGTCTTTGCGCCGGCAATTGCCGAAGATCCATTGCTGGCCACGGCGGAAGCCACGGCCGGAACTGTGCCACGATTTGTGGTGGTGGTGGTGGTGGCGGCCGTGGCGGGGGCAGTAGCGGGGGCCTTGGAAGGCGTCGTGGCAGGCCGCTGTGCGCGCTTGTTCTGCCTCTCGCACAGCGCCTGCATCTCATCGAGGCTGTCGTGCAGCGCGCGGGAGAAGTGCTCCGAGCCCGTGGTGGGGTCAGAGTGGAAGCTGGAGATGCAGAAGATGAAGTGGTTGTCCTTGGGGTTGTAGGAGACCCCGTAGCCATCCGGCACCACGGGGCCATAGCACATGAATGCGTCCATCGTGGTGGGGATCTGGGGTTCAGGGGATAGAGGGATGGCACTGATAAATCACACGCGCATTACTCCTGCATTAAATACATTTTCGTTTATTTTGGGCCTCCCTAAGCTGTGTCAGTCAGGGCTTCTTTCACCATATTTCATCATGCTGGTAAGTGCGGGCTGGTGAAAGGATGGCCTAGGGAGATGTCACTTGCCACCGATGTGAGCTGTGGCTGGGAATCAAATGTTTATCACCCAAGTCTCTAGTGTTCTGCAATAACCAAAGCGTTACCACCCGATCCTATGCAGAAATATACTCCTTTCTTTATACGAGAGTTGGAGGTGGCTGGGTATTGTAATGTGCGACTTCCGCTACACATCGTGTAGAGGGTACTTCTTTATTCACACACGGGCACAACACAGGCCAACCTTATCTTCTCATTCTGAGTACAACACTTAGATGTTAGCGCCTCTACTGGCTACACACACGGTCGATCACACGGCGTGGTTCCACCCGTCCACTCTCGGCTCTGTCGCTGGCTGGCGGCGTGCCGGGAAGGGTGATGGAACCCCGCAGGAGATCTTCCACGTGGCCGGACGATGGAGAGAGATCACGGCGAGTAGCGACGCAGTCCGGACCCAAGACTCCACACACGAACCCCGAGTCCTCCTCCGCCCACACTTATGTCACCGCAGGCGCGGCTAGGCTCTGCCTCTGGCCACGCCCTATCATGGAACCTTCGAGTGGGTTCCCGAAGCATCCCGGCAAGCCCCGCCCTTTACCTTTGGCCCAGATAGCTCTCCCTTTCGGATTGGATGCTGTTTTAGCATTGCCTGTAACCGTGCTTCCCTTTTCTAACCAGCAGGTATCATCATGTCATTACAATATTATGGGGCCACATATTGTGGGGGTCAAATGCGGCCATACACTCATTTCTTCGGTGTAGTGAGTGGATAGTTTCATCCAAGTATGTATGTATGTTGAACTTCTTTCGCACCAAGCGTAGCCAACTGTGCTAATTGGAGGTGCGGGGCAAGGGCAAGTCACCTATGACTGCATAAAAGCATTAAATTCAATTCACTTAATTCGGCATACTTCAGCTCTATTAATTAAATATGTAAATGGTATTGACATGCAATGGACACTGCAGAGTATACAAGAAGGGTTAACCCCGTCGGGGAAAAAGAGCTTATCGAATTGACTTGCGAACGTAGCTCTGTAATGTCAACTTCCACAGCCGTTATCTGAGACAAGCTGGTGAACTGCTCAATTCAATAGCTTCAAATTGAATAGGGATGTAATTGTGTAAGTATATTTTGGTAAATAAGTAAACAATGTGTATCTCTGCTCTTCCAATGTAGTTTAAATGGAGACCACAAAAAATATTAACTCTGAGCACAATACATCTCTTGCTTTCCTTCTGACAGGTGCATGCATTACTTCTATATCAGTCAAGAGAGCTTGACCTTAAGAAAGCAACATTAACCCTCTTGGCTTTGAATATCGATGCGTGCGGGAGGATGGTAAAATGTTAACTACCTCGCCTGGTATACAGGAGGTTGTGGGTTCTATCCCGACCCTGACACCGTACATTTGGAGTGTGCATGTTCTCCCCGTGGTGGCATGGATTTTTCTCCGGGTCCTCTGGTTTTTCCCTCCACATTTAGAAACATGCATTTAGAGTATTTGGCTGCTATAAAGTTCCACGTAACAAGCCAACTTCGTTGAGCTATCCTTTCTGGCCAGGTCGTTTCTGAAAAAGAGATGTACAGCTCAGTAGGCCTTACCTAGCAAAATAACAAAAATAGTTTAGTTATTTTCGTTTTAACAAACGTCACAAGAGTCGCATGACAGCGATGTACAGTAACTGGAAATCTGGGCAATCTTGAGGGTCCGGTGACAAATAATTCCCGGTGATATCACAGGTGGCTCAGCTGATCACAGTGCCGAAATCTGGCGACGCGAATTTAATTGAAAACGCCAAAACTTCGAATGTAAAAAACGTGCACATTTTCCAGTGTGCAATTAACAGCATAATATTGTAACAAAAATATTGTAAAAAAAATCCGATTTGCACACGTGGCAATTATTTTTACCGACTGTAAGGCAGAAATGATTTAAGATGGGCCGAGAATGATTAAGGAGCCAATTAAAATTCAATTAACACAGGTGCAGTGGTGAATGGCATGGGTCCCTCTTGATGCTACTCGGCTCTGGATGACCGCCATCGGCCCCGACTGGGGTTCCCCATGCCGCATAATAGATTATTGATCTCGGCTGTGTCATCGATAACTCGGAGTCGCGCGTATTGCGCCGCTGCCACTCGCTCCACCCACACGCACGCGGGAAGGTGCTCACAGAATGAATCGATTCAATTAGGCCCACATCGATGATCTGAATGTGTTTTCTTCAACCTGAGATTTAACCCCCAACAACAAGCATTTACATTTAAGGCAGGCACTAAGCCCAATAATGTTTGTTTTAAATGGAACTTAACCCAGTATCACATTTTTAGCTCTAAAACCTGGTTTAGATGTGTCCTGTAGCTTGCTCCGTTAATGAAGGAAGGCCTCACCACAGCTCTTCATTCTAATGATATTCTAAACACACGTTTCTAAATGTGGAAGGAAAAACCGGATGACCCGGAGAAACAATTCACGCGACCATGGGGAGAACATGCAAACTCCAAATATACAGGCGTCAGGGTCGGGATATAACCCACGACCTCCTGTATACCAGGTGAGGTAGCTAACATCTCGCCACTTTGGCGCCCATTGAGGTGCACAGACAAGAATTTACTTTGACTTCACGTTATATCTCCGACAGTGTGAAACCAAATCCCGAACCTGCACCCGCGTCTACAAACAAATCAATCAATAACACAAGTGATGCGGTGAGGAGGGGAAGCGCACACCTGGCTGGTGGACATAGCGAAGAGGTTGCTTTGGATGTAGGTGATGTCCTTAAACACCTCGGGCAGATCGTGGTCCAGCTCGCGCGCAATCTCCCGTAGCCCCAACATGTGACAGTCAATGGCCATTCCTGTTATAGCCTGAGACAACATCATCATCATCATCATCCGCGATCAACCTACTGCTGAATGAAGACTTCCCCAAACCGTCGCTATCTCTCGCTGCCCCACGATGTAACGTTGTACCTCTGCACACGAGCCGATTTCATTGCTACATCCGTGTGGTGTGCACCTCCTTGGCTGCAATTCCATCGTTAGTCTCAACCACCGGTCATCATCCCTTCTGGTGACATGTCCTGCTCAAGCCCGCTTGCTATTCGTAACAGCCAATGTCACATATTTCACGTGCGTATGCTCTTTAATCCATCTGTTCCTGCAATTATATGAGCATCTGACGCACCGACACAACCTCTCATTTCCGTGACCATTGTAACCCGTGCTGCCGGCACCGGACCAGCCCGGAGTTTTATGCCAGAGCCGCATGTCCCCACTGGCGAATCCACTTTGTGTGCCTGGCTCCCTAAGTGGGCCTGAGCGCTCCCTTTTCTAACCGTGTTACACGCGCAGAGGGGGTCAACAATGGGTTAACACGGAAACGAGATGCGCGCTGTGACATATCCCACGTGGTATCACCATTGGGGTCATGTCATTGTTACATCTACATGACAGAACGTTTTAAAACATGAAAACAATTGCTGTACTTAAACATAGCCTAATCCAGCAATGGCTTTCGGGGTGAAAATGTCAAGGATTTTGCCGCACCGCCCTCTTCTGCCCACAATGCCTATTGCACATGTCCTTTGCTCATGGTTATCACCCATCCAAACACCATCCAGACTGAATCCTGCCGAGCGTCCGAGATTGTACGTTGATCGGGTGCATTCATTTGTGATTTTGGTTATAGCCAATAAGATATTTGTGTATATATGCACATACACACACATACGGGATATAATCACTCACAAGTATGGTGTAATCCGTCTGTGCCTTTATCGCCTTCCACAGGAGCTCCATTCTCTCAGCATCCTGAACGGAGGAAATTGTGGTCACAAGGGGAGAGGAGAAGTCCCTTTATGAAAAGCTGAACAAAGTGGCAGGGAGGAGGGAGTGTAGGCAGTGGAGGGGTTACACTGGATCAAAAATGAGACTTAAGGCGAGCGGAGAGGAAAAGGCAGATATTGGGGGCAAGCTCGGCTTGGCGTTGAAAAATGATTAAACGCATTTCCTGGACTGTATATTTTTTGTATATATATGAAATGTTCTCCCTGGCGTTTGCTCCAGGGTAAGATCCTATTTCCAGTCGTTGGCCTTATTTGATACGAGTTAAAGAGCCCTGAATTCTTGCACGAGGGAGGGAGAGGCAGAGGGGGCAAGAAGGTTGCATGTATTTGGGAAATTACACAGGGTTTTATGGGTTTTTTTTGTTGGTGCCTTTTCAGAGGTAGTTCGCACGCTTTCGTGCTCATATGACAAAGCACTCTTGACCCACGCAGCTGTTTCCTCAATGTAATCATTTGCAGTGAAGTCGTAGGGGGTATGGAGAAATCATTGGACGGTTGAGTTATTTATTTACACTTTTTTTCCGGAACCCCAAGGAAGCCTCACCCCGGTAAGGGAGACTCCCAGGAGGGTCGTGCTCCGAATATTTGGTTCAGTTCCCCAGGGAGGCGTTTTTGTAATGGGATAAAATTAATATCTGGACGAAACCCACACCTGTGAGGGTATAGAACTTAAATCAATTTTAGTGGTTGAAGTATAATCATCAGCCGTCAAGTATGGGGCAGTGCCCTGATCAAATAATGGTTCTGATCAGTGGCAAAAATTCCACATTTTCATGGCAGGGGCTTGAATATGCATGGGACAAATTTTTACTTTTCACAGAAGTAGTACCTGTTTTTGTCATAGCTACCACTCTATTGGTACCTGTAACTGCTATGCCACGCAGAACTATCATCATTCTAAACGTGCGTTATACCACGTTTCTAATTAACTTTCTTAACTTGAAAAGTTGTAATTTACTTGGACAAGTTATTTTGTAATTCAATGGGGAGGTCGAACATGTAGACGTCCTTTCAATAAAGAAATCATTAAAACAATTTTATGATTACATTTTAGATGCAAAAAATTAGTTGGCATGTGAAATGAGCTACCTGTGATGGATTATGTCCCGTCACAGACAGTTTTAATCAGGAACAAACTCTAACACAAGGCTTAAATCACCATCGCATGACAGCGGTGATCGCAAATACAGAAAAACTGTATGGGTCAACGTATACTATTACATTTCTACTTCAATAAGTGGAATTATTTTTCCTACTTCTTATTGTAATGCCAATGTATGTAGAAATTATTACTGGTAGGAACCATCTGGTTCCACCAGCCCACAGGGGATTATTGTGTCCGTCCGTCCGTCCGTCCGTCGTGCATCCAAAAATAGGAGGGGTGGGGCTGGGTGGAGAGGGGAGGGTGGGGAGGGGCTGGGTGGGGAGGGGAGGGTGGGGAGGGGCTGGGTGGGGAGGGTGGGGCTGGGTGGGGAGGAGCTGGTCACCCCGTGGTGCCCTTATAAAACTCAACGTTTAACCTACTCATGCCGGATTGTGCCTGCCCTCAGTCGGCCATATTTGCGAAATACACCACGCCGCCGTTGACCCTGGCCATTGACCGAGCAACCCAACATTCCTACCAGCTCCTTCCACAGGAATGTGTTTTCCCTTTACACTGGGGTCAGACACACCCTTGAGAGATCTGATTATTCAGACGATGAGTGCCATCTTGCACAAAGTGAAGTCTCTCATCCCCGCCTGATCCACCATACCCCCACTTCCCAAGTCATAGTATTAGGGGCACAGTCAGAAAGGCACCATTATGAGCAGACCGGACGCTTGGCAATTTCATTGCAGCAGGAGGAGTCCGTCACCCCCCCACCCCCACCACGAGCCCTCCGTTTTTTCACTTAACGTCATACGCCGCGTGCTATTAAGAGACTTGCGCGAGACACCGATGTGACCCTCCCCCCCTCCCGGTACAGACGGGGTCATTTTCATCAGAAGGTCACGCTGTGTGTCGCTTTTTGAGTGATTTTCTGTTGTCGCTATATACGTGTGCGTCAGTTTAACACGTAGGCTGTTGCGACCGATATCATCCATAGTAGAGGGGTTTTTGGGGGGGGGGGGGGGTTAGATCGCGTGAATATAAATGTGTCGTTAAACCCGCCACCACCCGACACAGCCAATTAGTAAGGTTTGTCACGTAAACAAAACGTGTCGATTCGTTACTAATTCAGTACACCGGTTGTGTGTTGGAGTGTAAACCCACAACATTTACAATTCGAGTACGACATTTCGCCAGTAATTTCAACCAGCATCACCATGAATCCTCCTGTTTCGGTCTTAAATAGAGGGATACACTTGTGAGCCAATTTGGAGCGAAGGGTTAATGTATTCATGTGAATGACAATGGCTATATATTATTGGTTTGGTTATTCACAGTTATTCATGTGTGTGTGTGAACAATCTTATAACAGAGCCGTGTTATCCAATAGGCACAGTGCCTACGAAAACTAAAGGGTCTACGAAAGAAAACTTTGAGCACGTTTTTTATTCGTATGATAAAAAACATTTAACCAATTATATCTTCTTGAATAAATGTATCTATATAGCAAGGATATGCACAGCGTTTCAAGTGAGATCTGCTTATATGCGGCACACAGCGCGTTCCCATTGAATGAGGGCACAGACTAAATAATGAACATCTATCCAGCGGCTGGACAAAGTCCGCGTGAAACAAGCGAGTGACAGTGGCGGTCGTGGTCACATGGGACAGCAGCGGTACCAACTGTCGCGTTGTTATCACTCAGTCAGTGCCGGATTATCCCAGTAGCAAAAGTAGCTACAGATGATACGGGCCCCGCACTTTAAAGGGCCCCGCGCTAAATGCTTTCAAGCTATCAATTCCGGTTCAGTTATTCTGCACTTGCTCTATTACTATAATTCTATACCGCCTTCAACTTTTATGAACGACTGGGTGTTTAAGGTTAACGATTTTTCGTATTATCTGGCGTTATAGCAAATGAAAAAATATAATTACTTTACTATGCAAGCTAAAAATGTGTGTTTTAATATTTATGTTTTTATTTTATTTTATTTAGGGTCCCTTTATAACAGCTGAATCTGACACTGCACTCAAGGCCTACGAAACAGAAGCGCCTACGAAAGCTCTAATCTGGCCCTGTTTTGTACCGATCCCTTTGTGGCCCGATGCGACACTGCGCGGTTTTCAGCGGCTGACTCGCAACCAGAAAGCATGCGAGTTCAAATCCTAGCCGGGGGGGTGGGGGGAGGAGAGGATTTGACTCGTCAAATAAATAAAAAATCAGACCGCGTGATGCAAATGCAGGTTGATCCACAAATAATGACAATGTTTATTATACCCTTTGTTTCGGATATGAATGCAAATTTAACTCATGAGATTTCATTTTAAAAATTAAGGTAAACTTACCCTGATTGAACTACCCTAACCCTAAGATCTAAACGCCTTAACAAAAAAAAGTTAGCTGCGTTTAAAAATAAAAGTTTTTATGTTTCGATAATATGGACAATTTAGTATGAGTGGTATTGAGTGAGAAGTGAACGCGTTTCGTCACCAGGGGTGTGGGGTTTGGGTGTTTGCATCGGTTGAGTGGTCCGCGGGCCAAAGAAGTTTGAGAAACACTGCACTGGGTCATCATGAGACTCCAGTTCAGAATTAGCTGAGCGTGGCGTCTGGCCAAGCACCTGCCACTGCGATTATAGCGCTCAATTAATCATACGAAGACGGCAGGAGAGATGGTGAGAAGACGTCAAATAATTCGGAGGCCACGACTGAACACGTTTCTACTAAATAAATGAAGTGATTGAATAAAACGAGAGATACGTTTGGCCAGCAGTGAAAATGTACAGGCTCAGAACAACAACAACAGCAACATCGGAAATAAAATGAAGATCTCGACGTTTCGGCAGACTCCCCCTTCTCCACCGTGTACTCACGGACACGCCGGCTGCTGCCTCCCCGGCCTCGCCGAGGCTCGCCGACGACCTGCCCATGGCTCGCACGAAATCCCAGGCCTCCCTCGTGGCAGAGCGAATGTTGTCGACGCGACCCTCCTGGAAGCGGCGCAAGGAGGCGCTCTCGTACGTAGACACCAGCCGCCCGTGGCACCTGCAGAGGAAGGGCGGGGGGTGGGTAGCGGGCAGAGAGGCCTTGAGGAGGTGCGACTGAGAAACACTGTGGCAGGGAAGAGAGCTGATGACCGCGCGAGAGTGCCGTGGTGGCACCGTTTAAATATCGGGCAGCTTCCTCGTGTTAAACGACGTATGTATGTCGAACATATTTGCCCGAGCAGATCACCAGTTGAAACAGTGTCCAGTTATAAACTTTAGACGGACAAAAACATGTCTAGAATAAGTAACTACGATGTCATTTGTGACATCAAAATCCACGGATAGTATTTTTTGCATCGTGTTCAAACTTGACAATTATTTAACGAATTGTTTAGGCTTCGTGGATAGTGGTGTGGCTCACTGCATGTGCTTTCCTTCCATGATGCACAATAATTCGCTCTCGGACCTCAAACTAAATATCTCTGAGAATTTACATGTGAAGAGAAAAAAAAACCGTGATTTCATTGATAAGGAAGACACTTTGACTTTCAATGTGTATTTGAACACTGTGATTGATAGTACAAAAGATATGACGAGCAATACGTTAAATAATTTTCATTTCTCCATGTATGTACGTTGAACTTTTTTCGCACCGTACGTAGCCAACCGTGCTAATCGGAGTTGCGGGGGGAGAATAACAAACTAAACACGAAAATCAGTTCTCAAGAAATGAGTTTCTAATCGAAGCATAGCTCTAGTCGCTTTCTAATATCGGAAGGAAGAGCGTTCCAGACAGTCGCGGAAGCTCATCTAAAAGCGCGCGCTGCGGTGACCGTCTTTGTTCGATGGCCAGCCAAAAGCCGCTGCGAGAATGACCACCGGAGTTTTGCGAGACGTTTTTTGCTCCTTGACGAAGCTCGACACGCATGTCTACATAGATATATACATGCACAAGCCCCACATTTATCGTCCATTCATCCACATGATATGGCAGACATGTCCAGAAAATGAACATATCTACAGATAGGCACGAATTATTATAGCAACATTTGAATAAAGGGGCCAGATGCTGATGTCTGTGTCAGAACACTGAGCCACTAAGGATAAGAGATGGTTTAAATGATAGGGGGCTGCCTAATCTCAAATTGGTCATGTATAAGAGAAGGCAGACTTTAATCGAGGCACATGCTGTTTATAAATACACAGATTGCCAGGAGAATTAAGGTAAGAGACGTAAACTGTATACACAAGAGGTGCACTTGAAGATCAGCCATGTATAACACGAGATTAATGAATGTCGAGGCATAGATACCATCTATTGCGCTTCTATGTGACGGGACAAATATAATAAACTCGTGTAGTAATCACCCCTTTGTCTATGCACTCCTGGACAAAGGCTTTCCACGATAATTCAGTCGAAGGGAGTTGCTTTTATTCTACTTCACTATGTTGTATAGTGGAGGTTTGTGAAGATATTCTTTTGGTGTTTCGGTAAAGTCACGTCGATAGGTTCGAAACGTCGTAGTTTTGCGTGTTGCGATCGAAACGTCGTAGTTTTTTGTTATATTTTGTTATTTTCTTTGAACCTATCTACGTCACTTTACCGAAAGACCCAAAGAATATGAATTCCTGCAGTCGCGAAAGCTTTAAGTCAAGATGTGTTTGTGAAGATGTAAATCAATCACAGTGTTCAGACATAGACAAAGATCCCCCGTATAGCGGTAACAGACTGTTAGGGACAAGTGCTGTTAGAGAGCACACGAGTGGGTGGGTGGCCAAACATCGCGTCCATAGTCTCCCAAGTGGCGATGTTTACACATCACACACACCCTCATTACACACGTACACACACACACACTACTCATGTACACACACACACTACACATGTACACACACACACTACTCATGTACACACACACACCCACTACTCATGCACACACACACCAACTAATGTACACACACACCCACTACTTATGTACACACACACACCCACTACTCATGCACACACACACACTACTCATGTACACACACACACCCACTACTCATGCACACACACACCAACTAATGTACAGACACACCCACTACTTATGTACACACTCGCACATTCCCTTCCATACCCCAAAGATAAAAACAAAACTCAGCTTGCTGTTAGTGAGTACCTATAAAGGCCGGCACGGGACACGAGGGGGTGGGTGACCAGCACCACGCCCAGCCGCCTTAGTCTCCCTGGTGGCGATGTTTGCATACTGCAGCAGCTACTCATTTGAGGCTGAGTCGACCTAGGGGAGGCCCAGGACCGGTTCAAATAATCGTCACTGGTTTTGGCCGTGAACGGGAGTCGAACTCGGGAGGTCAGGTTCATAGGTTCGTAGCTCCAAGACCAAGACCCCCCGTAAAGCCTGAAGATACTGTTTGAGCAAGTGCTGTTAGCGAGTGGCACCTATGAAGGCCGGCACGACACGCGAAGGGGGTGATGTTGCCAGCAACACGTTCGGTCACCTTTGTCTTCCCAGTGCTTAGAACAATGACATCAGCTAGGGCCTCTTGATTGAAGTCTGAGTTGACCTAGGGAAGGCCCAGGACTGGGTCAGATTCTACTCACTACTTATATCGGACGTAGCCAGGATGAATGTCAGTTGTTCCCTGGATCATTCAGAGGATGATCAATCTGACAATAGTTTGACATCTATATAGGTTCTCGACCCATATAGGACTTCTATTGCTAGAAGCATTTCTCTTTGTTTGACTAGGTGCAAGTTCTAGTAAGCTTAATTAAATATTGAATCCAATCATATCCCAAGGACAGCTGTTATTTCACCATAGAAGAGTGCAGATGCTTTCATATTCCAGATTCGTGCTAAGACACTGGCACACAATGGCCTACTATTGCATACGATGATACCATAAAGAGCCCTTCAAGTCCACTTAGCGGCACCTTTTCTTTAGTTTCATAAATTCCGAGAATATCACCATATCAGGTGTCGAACTGTCACATCCATACAAAGTGGACCTATAAACTCTGAACTGTTTTTTAAATGATTATTTTAGCAGGTAAGGCCCATTGAGCTATATCACTCTTTTTCAGAGGCGACCTGGCCACAAATGATAGCTCAACAAAACGGCTTATCAGCGCAGCCACATACTCTAAAGTCTGAACGTGTGACGTTGATTCTAAATGTGAAGGGAAAAATCGGAGGACCCGGGGAAAAATCCACAAGACCACAGGGAGGGAGCGAGACACGCAAACTCCAAATATATAGCAGGCGTCAGGGTCGGGATCGAACCCACGACCTCCTGTATACCTGGCAAGGTAGATAACATCTCCGAGCCACCGCGGTTCATTAGGCTCTGTCAGAACTGGCCAAGCGTGGTGGCTAACGAACCGTCCGGCGCTGTGGTCAAAGCACAAACTCACCGAGGAAGATCACGAATGAAGATCGTTACGAGTTCAAAGGTTAACTCATCCCTCTGGAATAAAAAAAGCATTGGCCTATCCTTCACCCTTCCCCTTCTCTTAAATGGTTCAGTTGCGTTGGGATCATTTCTGTGAACTACGTCGCCTGCGTGAGTGAGCTATGCAACGCGCTGTAACGAGCTCGCATTTTGTAACAATAAAAAAATAATGCACCGTGGGCCACCACCGACACAGGAATGCCGACAGCGATGGGAACCGCCCCACGGGGTCGGTGGAGCAGAGAGACACTTTGACTCAACTATGCCCATTTGATTCCGCTCTAAACGGCGTCATAAAATGCACCAAAACAACACCAAAGTACTATTCGCTAATAAGATTGAACATTTTGGCAGCGCCTTTGACAACAGGGGTGCTATTTTTCAATAGTTTTTTCCATTTTGATTTTCCTTCTTTATTTAAAGCGATTGACTTTACCAAGCACTACACGACAAGAGAAGATCGATTTTGCACGCCAGCCGTTTCCTTCCGCAACTCTGATGTGCGGGCGTGGGCGAGTTTTTTTTGGCGAGGAAATGTTCGGTGGAGCTGCTGAGTGTATGGACATGCGATGTGCATGCATGCACGCATTGTGCATGTGGGTATTTATCCAGCGGAGGAGGCTGGTGAAGGACGCTGCTACTGGGCAGTTGGGGGCAATTGCCCTCCAGCAACAACGGTTGGCAGAGGAGCGACGCTCACAATGCGGAGCGCGGGGTGGATAAAATACAGGAAGCTGGTACCGTAAGGAGCACAGGTGGTCTACCAGTCATGTCAGTCAGTCAATACATAACAACTGGGTCTGTCCTGTGACCTCCTGCCAGCGAGCCTTCAACACTTTGTGAACTCAAAGTGTACCTAGCCTGACACAAGTGATGTGGCGACATCACCGTCACATAGTGGTGAAAGGCAGTTGTTATTATTTGGTGGAACGGTGGTTGCAGTGGTTCTTGCACTGTGCTCCGATCTGGGCTCAATTGCCTGCTCTGGCGAGTGATATCTAATTATGCCCTGGGTAGCCCCTTCACCAACCATCATGGAGCAGCGCAGTGAAGTCGAGTCATGTCGTGAAACTGTTACAATCCTCAAATCCGTTTCCGGTACCATTTTCCACAATTGCGTATCTCGTCATCGTTTGCGGTGAAATTCCGAAACCAGTAAACGTTATCTCACCTGAGTGTTGCGTGACGCGTCTTAGGAGGTGCACAAAACATGCTGTTGAATAATCTGAATATGATGAACCCACGACCGCGGCCTCGCCTCCGCCGTCTCAACGTGGCCCTTTCCCCTCTCCACCAGCCGTGCTCCTCGAAAGCAGCCGCCCTCCCTCCCTCCCCCAGGCCTCATTCGTCTCCCCTCCTCTCGCTCCAGAGCCACCCTCTCTCCCCTCCTCGTTCACGCCTCTCTCCTATATCGCCCCCCCACCCACCGCCGTCTTAATCTCCTGCCTTTGTTCCAGGTCTTTATTTTAGTTCGTCGCCTTTGAAGGGGCTCTAACGGGATATCCAGCAATGGGCTACGAGTTAGATGTGACGGGGCTGTTGAGTAACTGGGTTATTTCACCCCCATATACTGCTCTTGCATCGGTCGCGACAGTCACCAAAGCCCACGACTGATTGACGTGGAGTGGCAGTGGATTGACAAAGGGCAAATATTTGCATTGCATTCACAATTATTATAATGCGTATATTTGTTTAGGGCGGTGATGCAGTGGTGTGAGGCACTGCAGAAGGGGCCACTCAATCTGGTTGAAATTCCCGGCCTGGCACATCAGTGGCACATGGCATCCAATCACTCTTGCTGTGCCTTCTCAGCACGCATAGCTGCTTATTAACAGCAATTAATTTTATACACTGACACGGCATCATATATTTTCCTTTGTAAGCAAATATATGAACGTTCAGAGTAGCAAAAAAAAAAATCCAAAGTGTTTCCCCGCTCAGGGGTTTGAGCAGTGACGCAGTGCCTAACGCACTGGCGGAGTAAACCCCACAGACCTGAGTTCGATGTCCGGCCATGGCCAGCATCAGTGGTGAGTTGCATCTGAACTGGTCCTGGACAACCGCAAACTTCGCCGACCTGCACTGACCAGGGTGGATGAACTATGCTTCAATAATCCCCACGGCTGACAAAACGGTGTGGAGCGGGCCCTTCTTCCACCGTAACACTACGATTGTTATCATCGCCATCGACTAAGAGACACCGACCACAATGCAAGTGCGCGCGTGTGTGTGTCACCCACTTGTAGTGGGCCAGTTGCAGGGCCACCTGTACGTAGGCGTCGGGGCTCATGCGCTGCTGCTTGATGAACTCCTTCCCGTAGCCCGAAAAGCGGTCGATGAGGAGGTCGAGATTTTCCACCACCCTGCGGGCGGCACGCACGGCACTCACTCACTCCCCTCCCTCCGTGTCCTACAGCGGTTGTGCAGCGGTGGCATTACGCACATGCATTGCGATTATTTAGATGATATTGCTGCGATGCATTTTCATGTGATGAGCCACTTGGTTGAGCTATCGTGTGGCCGTGTCGCTTCTGAAACATAAGTCAATATCTCGGTGGGCTTTGTCTGGTAGGATGGGTGATGGTTTAGTGTTATCTGTATGTTTTTGGATGATTTGTTTTCCTATTCCTATACTTTGTACAAATTTCGTGTTTTTTGTATAGTTTGTCGTTTTATCGTCCTCACCCGTCCCTACTGGACATCTGCGAAAGAAGAGCTTCATAGCTCATCGGATTCCTCCGGTCTGAATATTCACATTCTGTGACCTCCTGCCAGCGGGCCTTCGTCACTTCACGTAACGGCCTCAAAGTGCACCTAGCACGGCACAAGCGTCGTTTGTTTGGTGTTGTTGGCTCACGAGTCGAGGTTCCGCGCCGCGAACGCCAAGTGCTCGTGAATCTCGGGGCTGAGCTTCCAGCGCAGGCGCCGCGGGGCCGGCAGCTCGCACACCGAGTCGGCGCGCAGCAGCTTCCTCTGGGACGTGTCCTTGCTGCGCACGCAGTGGCACACAACTTCATCAATCGCCACCGTGATTTACATACAACGGTTAATATTTATATAACATTGCTCACATGCCTCTTATTTGCAGAATCATGTCTGTTGGCAGGCCGGTGCTCTGTTACATCTTGTGCTGCACAGTGATAGCGGCCACTGTGGAGTCTCCTTGGCTGAAGTGCAGCAGAGCATTGGAACGGTTGAGATGAGATGTGAGAACTCGGCATTTAAGCAAGCGCGTTATTAATGTCAATCCTTATCCCTATGTAGCATCGAGGTGCAACCACATCTCAAGGTGGACCTTTCGATGAATGGAACGATGGATGCATCCATTCAGCAATGAAGATTGATTCTTACTTTGACTGTATATGAACCAATTAATTATTTTCACATTTATGTAAGTTATTTGTTGTTGATATGCTAATGTTATGTACTGTATTGCAAATCAATTGAAGAAAACTGCACACATGAGACAGAATAAAAATTACACAAATTTGGTGCAAAAAAAAAGATTATTCTTGAATTGAATCGTGACCCTGGATCGTGACATTTCATCAGAACGCTGAGGAGTAAACCATTCTCCGCGCCTAGAAACAGATTACAAGCATCAACACACTGAGACAGTTAAAATGAGTCCATATGACTGAAAAAGAGACATCTTGTCTCACTGGGCTGTTAGCTGGTTATTTAACAATAGTAATCTATTTATTGGTCTATCTGCGACACCAGAAAATGGGACACTGAGATATGAGACATTAGGCCATGGGAAACAATGCGATAACACTTTAAATTGTAATTGTCAAGTGCTGTATGGGATTTGTGCAATAGTATCACATAGAACAACGAAGGCACGTGGATATTGCTCTATGATCTTTAACATCTACTTCCCTGTTTAAAGGTATCCAGTACTTTTTATCTGCAGGTATTCATCAGTGACTGGCAGAACTGACCTATCAACGCATTGTATACCAGGTACTAACTAATTTTCAGGCGGAGTTAACCTCAGGGGAGGCCCAGGCCAGGTTAACATACCAATTGTCACCGATACAAATGTTGCCACAAATGCGGAGGTTAATTTATAATAGAAAACAACCGTTCCTGCGTGTCTTCCCACTAAATTATAAACTAGTTAAGAGGTGGCCCAATTGGCTCATGGGACTAATCACAGTGTTAGAGCACTGAGCGAGCACCGATGATTCCATCGGTCCCAATCCAGGTTTCAGCCGCCTGTGATTAAATCAAAACAAACATTAGCATTGACGTATAGAATATGAATAACAAATGACATAATTTGTTCTTTGTATTCTCCACAGCAACGCAGATAATTATTTTGAATTGCGTGCCATGTAATTTCGCTTCGAACTGGGATGCTAGATGGTAAGCGGAGGGCCCTGTAAGATCTGCAGGTCACCAGCATTGTCAATTTGAGCAAGCCTGACTCTGCTGATGGGACAATGAATGTCAAAACCGGTCCAGAGTTTGCTTGTTTAGAAACAACGCTGCTGAAATTACGCACTCCCCAGAAGGCCGTGCGGCTGACGAGTTGGTACGAAATTCTTGGTTTTTTGTACGTAGAGTGACGGATTACATGTAAAGGAGGATACGTTGTCTGTTTATTACTGAGTGATTCAATTAGGCTCTCATATGTAATAAGTTAACGGTCTGAGCCCAGTCACCCGGTGATTGTTTATTATGTAAAATAAGCTCCGGATACTTAAAACATCAATTACTCCACTAGCATGCAATGAGCAATCTTTACAGTGCTCGCAAGGGTGCACCACCTAGAGTCAGATAAGAGGTCAATTGAAGTGACTTCAGACGCGGTGAACATGGCATCATCTTCCCGAAGCCATTCACTCGCGCAAAATAATGCACTGGAACGTCATGCAGAGATTTCGTAAATCACAAAGAATGCCACCGTAAGAGTTCAGTGAGCACGCCACAATAAATAAAACATCTGCTCTCGAATCTTGGACGCAGAACAAAAGGCACGTGCGCGCTGAAGAACAAAAACCCCGCCTGCCTCCGCGCGCCCACTCCGAGCTCACAACAAACGCGCTCATCGATCTCCAGCTTTAATGTTTACAACTGCAGCCTCCGAGAGGTTAAAAGGTCAGAGGAGCAGATGGTTTGGCCCAAGGGATGGCTCCAGGTTCCGCTTTGACCAGGCTCTGCCTTGTGTTTTCCCCAGTTTTTAGGTAAATGGCACAGGTGGTCCAACATCTCATGGGATCCTAGGGCTGATTATATGAATGCATATTTTGTTGTAGGAAATGAATGATTATTGACCACCAGCAATCAGATGGATTTCCACGCATCATGGTCTGGTTTATTTCAACAATCAATAATGTTTGTCTTAAATTTCGATTTAAAGCTTTCGTGACTGCAGGGATTCATCTGCTTGGTTCTTTCGGTAAAGTCACGTAGAAGGGAAATATTAAAATTAAAAAAATAAAACATAATAAAATACAATTCTCACGACGTTTCGGCCACAACGCAAGCAAAGATGCATGATGACTTAATTTTGAGTATTATACCTTTAAATCTTACTTTATTAATAATGTCACCGTGAGACTGTCTTCCTCGAAACCCAATACACGGGTGCAACTAAAATAAAATAAATAGTTATAGGCTACGTATTATTGTATGCTGGTTAAAAACATCCGCAGCTATTTCAGTAAAAGCGAGTCTTAGGAGGGAGAGGGGAGGGAGGGCCCACAGTCGCATCCCGCATCGCCCCGGTTTGAAAGATGTCGTTGTGCCCCTGGGCGACTCACATGTAGGAGAGTAGATGCTCCACACATTGCACCACGGCAATGCCCTCCGCCGGTGAGTGTTCGTACACCAATCCGCACGCTCCATCCCGGCCCACGATGAACTGCCCACAAAACACACGCCGGCGATGATGTTCACATGCTGCAAGCAGGTGGAAATTAATTTAAGGCTGAGTCGACCTAGTGGAGGCCCAGAGCAGGCTCAGATGTCACTGTCAGCTGAGGTTGTGCACGATCATGTGTCATGTGTGCATGTATGAGAGAGCGAGCGAGAGAGAAAGCGTGAGAGGGTTGTGTGATTGAGCGGAGAGAGAGGGTGTGTAAGTGATTTTGAATGTGCCTGGAAGAAGGCACAGTCTATACGGGGGGTCTTGCACTGTGGTTCTTCATGCCTGGCAAGGGTTAAGTTTGATGTTTTATTACTTTATTTTAAAATTATATACCAGTCATTTGTAAAAAAAATTCAAACCTGTTCAAGAGTGGAAGGTCTGGGGGCTAAAACGTATCTCAGCTTTGAACATGTGAGTCGGCGGGAAAACGACGATCATATTCTTAGTTCTTTCGGTAAAGTCGGAAAGACAGCGTCTGAATTCAGACGCTGTCTTTCCTGTTCTTCACCTGAGGACGGCTGCTTGCGTTGTGGCCGAAACGTCGTGAGAATTGTATTTTATTATGTTTTACTTATATTATTTTATTATTTCCCTTCTACGTGACTTAATAGAAAGAACCAAGAAGATGAATCCCGGCAGTCACGAAAACTTTAAATCGAAATTCAACCCATCCCGCTGTGATATAAAAACTCGTGGTGTTCCGGCTAGAAAGTCACGCACTTTCATCACAATGAAACGGAGCCCCTACTTAATCGAGGGTAGCAGGAGTTGGAGCATCGTTTGTCGGCAAAAGACAAAGACACCCCGTATAGCCTTGAACAGACTGTTGGGGCAAGTGCCGTTAGCGAGCACCTCTGAATGCCGGCACCGCACACGAGGGGGTGGGTGGCCAGCACCACGCCCCGAGTGGCGATTTTCACACGCAACGCACCAGGTACTCATTTGAGGCTGAGTCGACCTAGAGGAGGCCCGGGACCGGTTCAGATATTCGTCACTGGCGTTGGCCGTGAGCGGGAATCGAACTCGGGCCGCCGGGGTTCGTAGCGCGGCGTAGCGCTAACCACTGTGGGGGGGGGGGGGGGGGGTGGCACCTGCATGGGTTGTCGACCTGCATGGGTTTGTCGAACCTGCATGGGTTTGTCGAACCAGCGGTTGCCGCTGTTGGCGCGCGCACCCCCTCCGTGCAGCATGTTCTCCGCCAGGGCCACGTCCGTGAGCGGGCGATTGATGGCGCCGTCCAGGCACAGGAGGAAGATGCAGCGCTCGATCGCGTCCAGCGAGTCTCGATTGGTCGAATCTGTCGGGTTTAAACAAAAAAACAAGAGCGGGGGGGGGGGGGGGGGGGGGAGATCACTGAACTATAATAGGGAACGGCAGTTGGTGTGGGGGGTTTGCCGGCGTTGTGCGACGAACCCGCTGACCCGAGTTCAATTTTGCGGCCATGGCTAATATCCATGGTGGGTAATATCGGAATTCGGTCTTCGCCTCCTCACGCTGACCAACACGGTGAAGTACGGTCAGAGTTACTGTAAAACGACTGACGCGTGTGTGGGGGAGGCCTTTATCCAGCTGTTGTGGATTGACAAAGAGCCGAACATCATTCGCTTCGACTCTAACAATCAATGTGAACGATGCCATCACACCTGGCAATCGCTGACTTCCTTCCGCCAGCTCCTGCAACTGTTGCGCAGTCAACACGTGGAGCGAGGACTGACCTCACCGTCATCCATCGCCACCCTTTAGGCCTGACCTTTGGCTGCTGACCTTTGGCTGCCACTGTGATGCCTGTCTCGATAACCTGCCCTCCTACATCCAGCGGGCGCGTTGTGCCCATCGCAGCCTCCGATTTAGCAATGCTCCACTCCATTCTGAACTTCTAAGTAGCTTGCCCTTTCCTTCCACGAAATCCCCGTAATCGTCCGCATGCACCGACAGTCAAAGCTCAGAAGGTTTACGCGAACACCTTTACAAATGGTGTTTGCGTCCGATGCCAATCAAGAGGCACGTACATGCCTCTGTGTCTTTGTCTTTCTCCATGTCAGCGTTCTCTATGTGTTCGATACCTGTCAACCAATACGATTTACCCGCATTCTTGTACAGGGAAATTGAGTGTTCAGGTCCATACGGCGTACAGCCGTTTCAATACGGGGCAAAAATATAAATGTGTCTATTTGTTTGTGTTTCTCCCTTGTAATGGGACTTTGTAGGGTGAACGTTGAGATTTATTTGGGCACTGGGTGACCAGTAAGGTCTGAATTGGTCTGTGATAAGGTAGGGCACTGACAATTGCTTGACAGGTTATGGTATTCCCTTGTCTCTGTCGCTTTGTCTCCCTGCATTGCTGCATCTCACCTGGCACAAGCGCCGGGCTGACGTCACCGACAATGAGTGTCGAACGTTGGTTCTGATTGCTGCATCTGTCTTTGTGTGTCTGCGTCTATCTCTGTCTTGCCCTGCGCCTCCGTCTGCATTTGTCTCTCTGTCTACACTCTGCAGCCGCACTCTGTATAGTGCCCCAGTTAGCGGCGAGACAGCTCTGTAGTTATATTGTCAGTGGGAGAGTTTATCATTCGAACCGGGTATATTTTTCAGACCAAAGCAACAGCGATACACTGCAATTGGGCCGTTTGTATATCTGCGTCTGTCTTTGTCTTTCCCTGCGTCTCCACCTGCATCCGTCCAGAATAATGCTGAATCTCTCTAATAACACACACACACACGTACGCAGTACTGAACGTGTACACTCATAAAAACACACACACGCACGCACAGCACAGGCGGTGTGGGCCGTGGCGCACGAACCTCTGACCAGGCATGTGCGCGCGGCAGCCCACGTGCTGCGCCCGTCGGTGGTGAGGAGGCCGATGGGAGGAGTTGGCACCTTGTCCGCCTCGGCCAGCTTCAAGATCTTCCCCAGCTGCGTGAAGAGGTCCGTCTCGCTCAGGCGTCGGAAGTTGATGACGACGTCCAGCACGAAGAACTGCGCGAGACATCGTGCGGGAAAGGGGGGTGATGACCTTCTCTGGCTCCCGGCCTCTTCTTTCTTTCTTTCTTCTCTTTTAGTCTCTGCTCTCTCGCTCCGTGGCTAATTCTCAGTGGCGTAGTGACGACATTGTCAGCTCAGCGGGTGCGGCAATCGGCCAGGTGGAGCCCCAATACTCGATTTGTCTCGCACGGTCGCACCCAGGCGATCATCTATCGCGGCTACTCTTGCCTCATCACGTCGTCGTCACGCTCACGGGCTCGAACACTTCGCGCTGTGGGGGCGCTCCGTCTCCACACAACGCAGCCACTACAGCTCTGCTTGTTTTACCTGGTTACCACTGTGGTGGTGACAACGAAGTAGAAACAAACATGCCAAGCGCAATGTGGAAAAGCCAAACGTTATCGCTCGATTTAATTTAAAGTAAAACGTGGTAACGTACGTGATAGTATTTTAATAAAAAGCACATTTAAATTGCGTTTTAAACAAGTTATTTTACACTGCCTCAACTCGTAGTTTTGGCCGGGGGGGGGGGCAAGGCACCCCCTGCCCCCACGCTCGTTACGCCGCTGCCAGTGTGAGATCTCCACCTCCGCGGAAACTCTCGGCCACGTAGCTCGACAGGGCTCGCGAAATGCCACGAGTCCAGAGCACTGCGATGGCACCGCTGACTTTCTGAGTCTGAATGTGGGTTTCAGCTGCCCATGATTGAATCCGTTTTAAGTGAGCACATAGCATCAGTCCTCTTATCTCTTTATTGGCTACCTGTCAAATTCGGAGTGGATTTTAAGATACTGATATTAACCTATAAGGCTTTAAAAGGGCTCACCACACATTACTTGCAGAAACGAATACATTTATATATTCCATCAAGATCCTTAAGATCTTTTGATCTACAACTGCTCAGCACTGCCAGGTGTAGGTTGCGCTCTTTTGAGGATCGGGCTTTTGTTAATGTGGAACCCAAGCTATGGAACGCCACTTGAAATCAGGCAATCAGTGTCGCCAGACATATTTGTCTGCTTTGAAACCCCATCTTTTTAAAGTGGCCTTCCCTCTTTAGTTTGGTCGGTTGCCTCTGGTTCTGTTTTTGTTTCCTGCTTTTCATGCATTGCGATCCTAGGATGGAATGCGCATGATATATTTGAATTATTATTAAATGCAGCGAGCTTATTGGTCATGGCCCAGTCTGCAATGACTGCACAAAACATCCCTGAATCACAATATGGTTTTTCACTGAAGTCAGCACATTCCAATTCCAACAAGTACACATTTTAGATTTCTCTTTGCGCGATGAACACTTTTTTTCAGCACATAAATGTTAAGCAATTTATAAATTACTTCAAACCTGCTGCCATATTAGAATGTCAGTTTAACACGTAGGCTTTTGCGATCAAAATTATTCATAATAAAGGTTCTTTCTAAATGTGTCGCAACCCTCCACCACCCGACATGGCCAATCAGTAAAAAATGTGTCACGTTGACAAAAGACATTTGTATATAAATTACGCGATCTAACCCAAAAACCAATGTTATGAATCTAAGAATGTATTTTTTCGTGCAATGAAACCATCAGCACATAAAAAAGCATTTCACTTCCCACCTTGACTATAAAAACGGCCACCCCTGGTATTATTAGCTGCTTACATCCAAATCAAGAGTCCATCATGGTAAATACCATCACGCAACTAACTACACCTTGTAATCACATTGCTCCTTCTGTCACATCACTGAGACCATTGGGCAACTGATACCCTGTCCGTCGATGTCTGCTCTTTCAGTCTTCTCTGCGTCACCGCCAGTCTGGCTTGAGGTCACCCCCTGGTTCAATGACATCTGGATGCCACTGCCAGGCCCTGTCCCGGTACTCTGCTGTCCAGCACGCGTGTCCCACCCATAACCTCTTCTTTTTACATTACATCTACAACAACGTCCTGCCACATTTTATTCCAAACCACGTGGTTGCGCTTACCCTGCAAACTATTTGCTATAAATTAACGGCTACGAATGAATCAATTACTTACAAAAAAGCTGAGAGTCACCTGATTTGCAATGTTTCGTTTTGTAAAAAAATACCCGGTATGACATTACAAGCACAATGTATTTTACTTGCAAACATTGTTGAAAATAATCACATTTAAAAATATTCTCTCACGCAACAAGATTGCTTCCACATATATCGTCCCACCAACCAGCACGCTCTCTCGCCAATATCCCTGCTCAAAGAGATGCACCTTGCATCACGGGTCAGTTACGAGGCTAGAGGCCTGGGGAAAAGAAAGAGCTGATAGCAACGAGACATATGCATCATCTTTGCGGGGTCGATGCAAACCCGCAACATTTGTTTCACGGAAATGTAGAAACGTTGGTCTGAATACAAAACATCCCCGCAAATGTTTGTGAATGGAGGCTTGAACGCTAATCTGCATCTGGTGCCTCCGTTAGGGTTTTTTTCTCGTAACACAGACGAGCCAAGCATGCATCCACTGAGTCAATAGACTCGGCCATTAGGTGATTAGTTCGCTTTCATGCGGGGCCCATTACGTTGATGAGCCCCTGGTTAGGGAATGCCCACAAAGGGCTATGGGGACAATGATTCATTCATTCAATTATTTAATTAAGCGGTCGATACGATGATCAATCCATCACGCGGTCTGATAATTATAATCAATCAGAGCAAATGTAACTTGCGTATGTAACACGGTGCGATGACGTCTTGTGGGAGGATTAGGGATGCGGTACTGAAGGGAGGTTGGGAGTGGGTGGATGCGATGGTGCGGGCTACCGAGTTTTGGCAGAACAAGAGGGAGGGGGTTTTTGGCCAGAACGAGACCTCTTTAATCATAAAATAAAAAAATCAGGACATTGTGCATTGTATTGCTGCCACATAGGATGTTTGTCCTGCAGTGCACGTGTTGTATGCGTTCACCCGCAACATGAATTGTATTTAACGATACCAAAGTGAAATTGAAACCAGTCCAGGGTTTTGAAAAACTAAGCAAATGATACTACAATACATTGACGTGGAAGGCAAAACACAAATGAAAAACAACTGGTAACACTGAGACAAGTTTACCTCCAAATGCTAAGCTTCTTCATTGCGAAATTATACATTTATTGGGTAAAAAGTTTGGATGCAGGCCGATGCTATCGTTCCCTGCAGAGACGTCAAATGAAGTTTGACGCTACACGAGAGAGTCCGAGTGGAACGTGGGAAGAGTGCAAAGACAAAGATCCGCCGTATAGCCCCAATAGACAGTTGGGGCAAAAGCTGTTAGCGAACACCTATGAAGACCGGCACTGTACACGAGGGGGTGGGTGACCAGCACCACGCCCGACCGCCTTTGTCTCCACAGTGGCGATGTTTGTACACACCTCACCAGGTACTCATTTGAGGCTGAGTCGACCTAGGGGCTGCCCAGGACCGGTTCAGATAACCGTCACAGGCGCAGCTCCTCACAGGAAGCGTGCTTTTCCCCCTGACACAAGCATGAGCTGAGTCATCTGCTCTTCCCGCAAAGTCAACTACAAGGTGAGGCAACCACGCAACTTCCACAATCATCACCCACAGCCACTGTAACAATGCCGAGTGACTCGATGCGTCGGTGCTTGTGAGCGATCTCCGTTCATAACGATGAGAGCCACGTGAACTTGCTGACATCACGGTGCGTGGGTTGAGCGGGCTCTCCATGTGAGTCTGCGTAGCCCAGCGCATAAGAATGGAATATTAACCCCAACACATTCCTGCGGAGGGAGCTGGTAGGAACGTTGGGTTGCTCGGTTAATGGTCAGGGTCAACGGCGGCGTGGTGTATTCCGCAAATATGCCCGACTGTGAGGGCGGGCACAAGCCGGCGTGAGTAGGTTAAACGTTGAGTTTTATAAGGGCACCACGGGGTGACCAGCCCCTCCCCTCCCCACCCAGCCCCTCCCTCCCTACCCAGCCCCTCCCTGCACGACGGACGGACGGACACAATAATCCCCTGTGGGCTGGTGGAACCAGTGGGTTCCTGCCAGTATAATGATGGCATGACTACACTCGAGCCAGGAGCCAGAGTTTGAGCTGGATGACAATTGTGTTCGATATATATATAAACTGCCAAATTGCAGTTGTTGCTTTGATATGCAAAAACGATACCCATTTTGAATGCTAAACTATCCCACTGACAATGTAAGGACAGAGCTGTCTCAACACCAAACTGGGGCACGATACAGAGTGGGGTGACAGGGAGACCATGGGGTTAGACAGAGAGACCCATACAGATGGAGGCGCAGGGCAAGACAGAGGTTGACGCAGATACACAAAAACAGATGCAGCAATCAGAACCGCCGTTCGCCACTCATTGTCAGTGACGTCCGGGGGCGCTTGTGCCAGGCTAGATGCAGCAATGCAGACAAATATAAGTACACTGAGAAACACTGACAGGGAGATAAACATGGGTAAACACAGAGGCGTGTATGTATGTTGAACTTCTTTCGCACCGTATGTAGCCAACCGTGCTCATCGGAGTTGCGAGGGAAGGACAACAAACTAATCACAATAAAGCACTTCTAAAGAAATACGTTTTCAATGTAGACCTAAAAGTGCATAGCTCAATGGCTTCCTAATATCGAAAGGAAGAGCGTTCCAGACGGCCGCAGAAACGCATCTGGAAACGGGCAATGTGGTGACCGACTTTGTTCGGTGGTCAGTCAAAATCCGCTGCTGCTGCGAGCATGGCCGGGGTTCGCGTGATGGTTTTGCTCTTCGACGAGATCAGCAGCAAGGTATTGTGGTTCATTTGTGGCAAGCACTTTGTGTGTGTGTGTGTAATAGAGCGCATGGACACAGACACAGACATAACAAGAGAGACGCGGAGACCCAGAGAGCGAAACAGATACAATGAGACGTGGACAAGCAGTGCCGGATTATCCTAGTAGCACAAGTAGCTACAGATGCTACGGGCTCCGCATTTTCAAGGGCCCCGCGCTAAATGCTTTCAAGCTATCAATTCCGTTTCAGTGATTCTGCACTTGCTCTATTACTACAGTTCTATACTGCCTTCAACTTTTATGAACGACTGGATATTTAAGGTTAGCGATTTGTCGTATTATCTGGCTGTATAGCAAATGATAACAATACAATTAGTTTACTATGCAAGTAAAATATTGTTTTAATATTTGTGTGTTTTTTGTTATTTAGGGCCCCTTTATAACAGATGCCACAGGCCCTGCGGGCACGAGCTTAACCCGGCTCTGCGGACAAGGATAATGTTGTGCACCCTACACAAGTGCGCGTCCACGTGCGCGTCCACGTGCGCGCTCTGCACACGGAGTTAGCAGTGAGCGCGTGCGTGGCCGCTGGCTGCGTGGGGTCATCACGTGGTTGTTGCAGGCCACGATGATGTGCTCTGGCTCCGGCATGACGGTGCTGCGTGGCGCGACCAGGGTGTCGCGCGGGTGCCCGGCCAAGCGGTACGACGAGAAGAGGCGGTAGTACTGCTCCATGCACAGCGGGTGGCCTGAGAGCTGGCCCCGCGCAAAGTCCTGCGGCAGCGCACGCCTGCGTGTACGTGTGTGTGCGAATAGGAAGCGGTGGTCGTTGTTGTTTTTTCAATGCACAACGCTCTTATTTTAGCAACCCACGTTCGATTTCTGGCCACAGATAGGGTTCGAACGGATCCTGGGTCCCCTATCCAGCTTTTCAACTCTGGTGTTCTTGTGCACGGATATGTGTTCAGGAGCTCAATGCCAGTGTGGAGGTCTGCGATCTTTGAGATAGCTTCAGAGGATATCCCTCTCGTGGCCGGACGACCTCGGCATTAGCCTTCAATGAGTAGCTGGTAAGGTGTGTGAACATAAGAAATGGGCAAACAACGGTGGTTGGGCGTGATTCTGGCCACACCAGCCCCATCGTATGTCGCGCTGGCCTTTATATGTCCTCGCGAACAACACTTGCACCAATGGTATATATGGCTGTTTGAGAGATATTTATATTGGTATGACATTTTAAATATATGTGCTGCATTAGGGTGTGTGTGAGCATATTTATGGGAGTGTGCGGTGTCTAAGGATATTGTAGTTGACTGTGCATGGGAGTATGAATGCGAGTATGGGCAGGACAGTGGATGTATGGGTATGAGAGTATGTTGCTGTGTATATGAGCTGTGGGATTGTGAGTCTGCGTTTGTGTGTATAGCCGATACTCTGATTCGTCTTCATGAGTGGTCTTGAGCCAATTGTCGAAATTCCACATTCCAGATTCAAAAGCCCACAATTCGTAATTTCGACAACCACTTGCCTACACTAAGTGATGGAGTGTTACTGGGTGGTACTTATTGATAAAGATGATGATAACAACGGTGATGATTCAACTCTGGTCAGGATTTTAACTTGATCTCATTACTGGGTGCCCTGCTGCTCCGATGACGAGCAATGTAAACCAAGACCATTGGAATCCAGCTTGGAGGTCGAGAATAACTCACGCATCAATCACCACCTTGTAGTCCAGGATTCCTGAGATGAGCCGAGCAGCAAATCTGGACAACACACACACATGGAGAAGGTACGGGGGCGAGCCACGTCGTCGTCAAGGGAACTCCTCCAATTACTGCATTGTACCTCTGTACCAGTTGGTATGAATGTTTAAATAACGAAGGGACATCTAATAAATCCACATCAGACTCAAGCCTCCCGTAATTCGCGTGACTTCTATGTGACCACTCCCACTCTGAATTCTTTCACTCGCCCTTCCCCCTGTGAAAACAATCGCTGCTTCGCGCAGCTCAGTTCAGCTCGCTACTTTCTTGTCTCTCTCTATCATCACCCCTCACCATCAACCCTCTCATCCCCAAGACGTTTTATTTTCCATCGGCTTTATTGTTGTGTTTGTAGTGTATCGTTGTCATATTTACAATCACATTGTACTGTTACTGTAATCGTGGTGCATGATAGTAATTAATCGTTACGTTAATCATTGACTATTACTTATTAAAGCAACGGTTAACATATACATACTCTTAGGTTTTTTCGGTAAAGTCACGTAGGTAAAAAATACAATTAAAAATTACTAAAAGTAATAATATAAATAAAATATTATTTCTTTTAGAAATTAGTTTAAAAAAATTACCTACGTGACTTTACCGAAAAAACCTAAGAGGATGAATCCTTGCAGTCACGAAAGCTTCAAATCTAGAATTAACATATACATGTTTTAAAATATATAATAACAACATTATTTTAGATGTAAGACATTGATTTAAAACAAAAATTAATACAAGTGTGAACTACTGTTGCTTACGTAAAATTTCACATGAATTAATGTGTTTATTTAATTACTGCAACCTTCCAGATCAATCAGCAGTGTAAATGTCAGTAGTTTCGGAATAGTAATACACATATAGCATCTATATTTCTATCCCCTTGATGCACACATCCCCTATACTGTAGGGATTCCTGCTACGTAGCTGTATTAAGATGGTATATAAACCCAACATGTATTGCTTAAAGTAGGAGTCATGCATGCATCATGGTGTATGAGGTAAGAGTGGAGTTTGCCGCAAAGCCAAAGCCATATCACTGACATCATGCAGAGGGGCTGTCCTTGGTACTGAATTCCTCAATCTGGATACATTATGCATGTATCTGTGTTTTGCATTGAAGTAAAACTCGGTTTGTAGATTTACATAAGTGTGCATGTGTTTGCTCCCAATTACATACAGATGTAAACTCGAACGTTCGTCCTGTTTACAGGCCTTGGTCAATGCACTGCTGAGGATAAAGGTACACCAGTGTGCAAACCACTGTACCACCAGGAAAGGAATAAATAGATAATTATATTCGGCACAAATATAGTTCACTCAATGTTGTTTATATTTCTAAATGTAAGGCCACGTGGAAAATCATTAACTCTGTATGCATTGTTTGTGTGTTTATACTGGGGGTGTGCTTGCCTGTGTATACATGCGTATATCTGTGATTGAAATGCAGTCTGTGTGCAGTTCCACACCGTAGTTGGTCAGCCTGGTCTCGGAAGAGCTGCCTTGGCAGAACCATTCCCGGGTTAGAGTTGACGGGCAATGGTACTCGATTGTCAAGATACATGTCGTTGAGCCACCACTCATACACCTGCACGCGCGCATGAAGACAAATATCCCGTTACAGCCTTAAACAGATTTTTGGGGCAAGTGATGTTAGCGAATACGGTACACGAGGGGGTGGGTGGCCAGCACCACGGCCGACCGCCTTTGTCTCCCCAGTGGTGATACTTACACACGATACCGGATACTCACTGAAGGCTTTAAATAGGTACCCAGATATAAAATTGTCAACAAATATTTTGTAAAAACAGGTGTGGGTGCTGGACCACCCAGCTGGAACACACGCTCGCTACGTGTCTCCACCAACACGTGAACTCAGATTCATATTCTTAGGTTTTTTCGGTAAAGTCACGTAGGTAAAACATTCTCGAGACGCTGGCCTTCCTCAAGAGATGCCGAGATAACAAGGTAATACCCATCGCTTTCACACTCACATCCGCTGCTGTGTCCTCACCGAACTCTAAACAGATCTTATTTCTCCATAATAATTAAGAGTGGGCCATTCCTGCCCCCCCCCCTCAACCATTATATATACGGAGTGGTATCTCCTGCAATCTCTCATTTACTTGATACAGCTGTCGGGCTGTGACGGTTCCACCTGAAGACGGAAGCTTGTGTTGCCTCCGAAACGTCGTGATTTTTATTTTATTTTACTTTTATTAATTTTAATGTTTTACCTACATGACTTTACCGAAAAAACCTAAGAATATGAATCCTTGCAGTCACGAAAGCTTCAAATCTCGAACGTGAACTCAGGATGAATAACAATTCTCTGAGTGTTGATTTTGGGAATTTTTTTTATTACTTTCACTTAATCAATCTGCGCGTGACTGCTGAAGTAGCAATTAATTACTGTGTACACACACACGTGACCTGCTTGCCCTGTTTATGGGGATTGACACGCAATCAATGTGATTAACACCGAGTTAATTGCAATTTAATGGGCATGCTAACAAGCGCAGTTCTGCTGACTAATTATGTTATGAGAGTCAAAGAGAGCGAATTATGGATATGGCAAAACAAAGCTAATGACGCAGGCTGCTTTCGTTAGTTATCATCTGTAGAATCACAATTGAATGGCCTTTTAAAAGAACATGAGGGACAATAAATAAGTGGCTATATTTGCGAAAAATATTCAAATTGTGAGATACTTTGTGTACATTCCTTAGTTTCAATGAGAAACCAAATTGTGTGTAATTGATCAAAGCTCGGTTTTAATCAATAGATAATTAATGAGTTACTAAAATTGTACAATTACTTTTATTTAAATCAACCACACGAGCTGAGAAAAACATCAATGCATTTCATGGAAAAGGGTAAACGAGCGGTACATGAATAAATCACGCACAGCAAGTATTTATCTTGGTAAATATAAATTGTAAATATTAAGCCGGGCGGTGGTGGCGCACGCCTGTAACTCAGCACTGTGGAGGCGACGGTTGGTAGATCACAGAAATGAAAACAATCTCTTTGCGTGGACGTCGAGGAGATGTATAGGACCGCAGAACTTGGAGGGGGGGAGAGGAATTTGGTGCCAACTCACTGCCTCGCTGCTTTCCTGATTGTCAGTGATCCTCACGCCTCTGAGTCGTCTCTCTTTGAGGAGTGAACGATTATTTGCGCGTTACAAGTTGAAATATTGTGACATTCGTTAACCCATGTGACAACTAGAGCCAATCATGGAAGTGTTGCAATTCATGATTTCCCATTTTAAAACTGAATTTGAACTATTTTGGTTATCCAAATGCACCTTATTTCAAGATTGTTCCAGATAACCCATGTTAAACAGAATTTCATACACTTAGTATAACCACTTTGTATAACTTCACACACCTTGCACGTGAGTGAAACTGATATCAACTCTGTTAAATTTGATACCTACCACCCTACAACTCCACACATCCTTTCCAGTATATTTAATATGACACGATACTCTCTGGAAACCTTCATATTTCCAGATGAAGACGAGTTGGTCGATACATTGCGATCTTCCTTTAAATTTCATTTACAGCAATACTCCATGCAATGCTTGCTTGGCATGTCATCCCGTGTATTGACTGAAGCAGTGGCTGCTTGACATTGCATTTACATAATGCCACGAGCAATATTTTCACGAATGTTGCACCGTTGATTTTCAGATGAAGGGCAGTTGTCCAGCTGCCCCACGGTGGCGAGATGTTAACTCATAATAAACGTTTTTGGGTTTAGATCGCGTTATTTATAAATGTGTCGTAACCCTCCACCACCCGACATGGCCAACTAGCAAAAAAGTGTCACGTTGAAAAAAGACAAATAGTTCACTACTTTAGCCCACCGGTGTGTTGAAGAGTGAAACCATAACATTTACAATTTTTGAGTACGACGTTTCGCTGGTAATTGCATCCAGCATCATCGGGCAATTCGCCAGAATGGTGAGGGGCTCTGCTCTTGCTCCCGGAGTGTTAACTACCTCATCTGGTATACAGAAGGTCGTGGGTTCGATCCCGACCCTGACACCTGTATATTCAGAATTTACATGTTCTCCCCGTGGTCGCATTGCTTCTTTCTCCCGGTCCTCTGGTTTCCGGACATTTAGAAACATGCGTTTAGAGTATTTGGTTGCTGTCAATTTCTACATAAACCACTTCGTGGAGCTATCATTTGTGGCCAGGTCGCTTCTGAAAAAGAGCTATACAGCTCAGTGGGCATTACCTGGTCAAATAAAAAAAACAGTAATAGTCGTAATACAATAACCACTGTTAACTTCCCACAAAAGTTGTATTCATTGTATGGACTCCCGAATGACGATAGACCAGGTCAACCCTGAGCCAAGATGTGAACTCGGAACATTCCAACTGTGATCGAATTGTGCTATCCACAGCCACCACCTGGCCAGATTCTTCTAGATTTGAAGTTTTCGTGACTGCAAGGGTCCATACTCTTTGGTTTATCGGTAAAGTCACGTAGGTAAAAAATAAAATAAAAATAAATGAAATCACGACGTTTCGGAGGCAACACAAGCTTCCGTCTTCAGGTGGCACCGTCACAACAAAATGACTGTATCAAGTGGAGAAAACTCTAAGAGACACGAGACTATATACAGGTTAAGGGGGGGTAGGAGCCATGATGGACCGTGGGGGAGGGTTACGTTAAGCCTCCTTTTGTTATGCTGCAGTAGTGCACGTGTGTTTTCAAGATTGCAATGCATGCATGTGAAACCTTGGTGATCGATGTGGCATGATAGCAGAAATCTTTGGAACCGTGGCGCTGGAGAAGATAATTATCACATATCAAGTGGATGGCAAGAAAGAAAAACCGAGAAAGTTGAACTGCGAGAGATTCATACGAATACATGGAAACTAAAGTATATTGGCCACATAGCTTACAGGTGTGATGAAAGAAACTTGGAGAAGCTGCTGGTGTGTCGTAAAGTGGAAGGAAAAAGAAACAGAAGTCGACAGAGACTAAGCTAGACAGATTAATCTTGTAAAATTAACCGGGAGGACAGTTGACAAGTGTTACAGCAAAGCACTAGTGGCGTCGTGGCTACATTATCAGCTCAGGGGGAGGCGTCAATCGGTCAGGTGGGGCCCCGATATTTGATTTGTCTCACACGGTCGCACCGAGGCTAAATATCGCCGCGAAATATAGCCCAATTGAATTAAAATAAAAAGTGGAACGTAAATGAAAGCATGTTCATACAAAAAAATGTAAACCGCGTTTGAAATACTTTTTTTAGTTTTCCACGTTTGTTGAAACATATCTCATGGTGCTTGTCAAGGGGGCCCCCAGCTCGTAGCTTTGACCACAAGGGATGGGGGATGGGGGGGGGCAAGGCACCCCCTGCCCCCCACGCTAGTTACGCTGCTGTAACGCACAACATCGGAGAGATCGGAACAGCTTCGTTATCGAGGTCACAAATACTCAGCGGTGAGAGGCGCACGCGCGCGCGCGTGTGCGTGGGTGCCTGTGTGTACGAGTCGACACCCACCCAGTTCGTGTGCTGCGTGCGTGGGTGCCTGTGTGTACGAGTCGACACCCACCCAGTTCGTGTGCTGCGTGCGTGGGTGCCTGTGTGTACGAGTCGACACCCACCCAGTTCGTGTGCTGCGTGCGTGGGTGCCTGTGTGTACGAGTGGACACCCACCCAGTTCGTGTGCTGCGTGCGTGGGTGCCTGTGTGTACGAGTGGACACCCACCCAGTTCGTGTGCTGCGTGCGTGGGTGCCTGTGTGTACGAGTCGACACCCACCCAGTTCGTGTGCTGCGTGCGTGGGTGCCTGTGTGTACGAGTCGACACCCACCCAGTTCGTGTGCTGCGTGCGTGGGTGCCTGTGTGTACGAGTCGACACCCACCCAGTTCGTGTGCTGCGTGCGTGGGTGCCTGTGTGTACGAGTGGACACCCACCCAGTTCGTGTGCTGCGTGCGTGGGTGCCTGTGTGTACGAGTGGACACCCACCCAGTTCGTGTGCTGCGTGCGTGGGTGCCTGTGTGTACGAGTCGACACCCACCCAGTTCGTGTGCTGCGTGCGTGGGTGCCTGTGTGTACGAGTCGACACCCACCCAGTTCGTGTGCTGCGTGCGTGGGTGCCTGTGTGTACGAGTCGACACCCACCCAGTTCGTGTGCTGCGTGCGTGGGTGCCTGTGTGTACGAGTCGACACCCACCCAGTTCGTGTGCTGCGTGCGTGGGTGCCTGTGTGTACGAGTCGACACCCACCCAGTTCGTGTGCTGCGTGCGTGGGTGCCTGTGTGTACGAGTCGACACCCACCCAGTTCGTGTGCTGCGTGCGTGGGTGCCTGTGTGTACGAGTCGACACCCACCCAGTTCGTGTGCTGCGTGCGTCGCTCCACGAGGGCCCTTTGCAGACGCTCCCCGTGTCCCCCCGGCGCCGCAAAGCGCTCCACCAGCACCTGCGTGCGCCGGAACTGCTCGGGGGCCACAAGGTGCCGCATGCAGTCCAGGTAGCGCCGCAGGGTGTCGGCCAGAGGTGGCACGGGCAGCAGTGGGATGGCCTGGCGTGGGAGGGTGGGTGGGGGGTGGAGAGGCGCGTTAGCAGACCTAACAGCGAATGACTTGACGATGACGTAAGATGTTCGTGCCAGAAAGACGTAGCACTCCTTGAGCGTCTTGGCACAGAGACAGAGGAAAGTGGAAACACACGACGACGTGTGCAGTGGACACCGGTGGGCTATCTGCCCATGGGTCGTGATGATGGTGATGACTATCAAGAGTTCAACGGTGTATCTGTCTCAGAGCCCATGTGCTGGAAGCGCCCACGTGCCAAGTTACGTACAGGAGGCCAAATTGTATATGCTACGACAGGGCCCATAACATCTCCACTATGCCACTGGCCTTATGCATGCCCCTCCCTCCAGCAATCCGTGCTGCCTACCCCGTGCACTTGTTGGGGTCCAGGATCAAGACATAACTCTTCTCTGCATACGACTTTCTCCTACCCATGAGATGTCTTATGTTTCTCAATGCAATTACATTCTATTTACATTTAGTGTGCATGTCCATATTTTGTGCAGTTCCTTTAGGTACAGCTTCATTAAGACACCGATACATTCAAATTGTGTTCATCAGGGGGGTTATGTAGATGGTAGAGGATGGATCGGAGAGCTCGTGGTCTAATTCTTATGGCCCAACATCTTCACCTGGAGTCTAGTGCCTTGAACGATCCTGACCTGTCACGTGGGATTCTTGTGACATGTCATTGTTTAGTCCCCTCCAAATTACCCACCTGCCCCTCCATTGCATATAATTCAATCAATGTCATTGTTATTCTAACACCGTGATTACATTACTCCGAGGCTCCATCTCTCCCGATGAGAATCCCGTGTCCTGCTCTGATGGGTCACAAAAACATAAAAAAATTAAATTATTATGACAATCATTTACTATATTCTTTGGGTCTTTCGGTAAAGTCACGTAGATAGGTTCAAAGAAAATAACAAAATAACAAAAATCTACGACGTTTCGATCGCAACACAAGCGGTCGTAATCAGGAACGTATACTTGTGTTGCGATTGAAACATCGTAGTTTTTTGTCATTTTATTTGAACCTATCTACGTGACTTTACCGAAAGACCCCAAAGAATATGAATTCCTGCAATCACGAAAGCTTTAAGTCAATAATATACTATGTTCATCCAGGATAGGCTCACTTAGTCTTCAGAATATTTTAAGGAGCATACTCACACTGAGATATCTGGCCAATCCCTTTAGGTGTGTTTGAAATGTGGAAGGAACCCTGAAGCCCCACAGACATGCCATTGACACGCTCATAACTATGTACAGATATAACAATTCACAGTGCATGATGAGATCATTTAATTAAATTATACACATCTACATGTACAGCAAAGCGCATTAAGTCCAAGCCAATTGACATTACAAGAAATGTATTTTCTTTAATATTGATTTTTCTTTGCACTGTATTTCCAACGCCTCCTGTAATGCCATAGTTATCGCTCTGATTATCCGTGTTCGTCATTGCTGTAATTTATATTAGTTTATTGTTTTTATAAGTTTGTTGACCAAGGTCACTCTTGCAAGTTAGACTATCTGGTCTGTCGACTTCTCACCTGGATAAAATAAAAATAAACTTCACTCTACTTAATATCATGTCAGTGCACTTAAAGAATATAATCGCAGCTTCCTGGATTCAAGCTTGGAACTTTAAGATTTGTGCCATGATTTCTGTAGGTCAAATGTCTTATATGTTCTTACATAAATCAAAGTACATTTTCAACTTCATCGTGAATTAATAGTGCAGCGGTATACTATACACAAATATTAAAACATTTACAGTATACGGTCCTTGAATATACAAATATTAATTTATACCAAGCTCATGGCAAATCTGAGCACTGATTTAGTTTGCCATGACCATGCTTGTTAGTAAACCTCCTGTGCGTACAGGAAATGCCACCTACTCTCTCCTCTGCTGCCCAACCTCCTCACCCTTTACCTGGCTGTCTCTCCTTCTGGCCTCCTTCGATGGCTTCTCGAGCACGGGCATGGTGTCTCCCACCACTGCAGCACCGCGTTATTGTATTCCGGGTTATTGTATTCCTGCAGCGGGCACATGGACACAAGCAACATCACACATCGATCATTAATACCCTCCGCTGGGAATTAGTTTGTTGTCCTTTACACGCGCCTCCGCTTAGCATGGTTGGCTACGTACGGTGCTAAAGAAGTACATGCATACAAACACGGGGGTCAATTATAGGTGGCCAACGTGCCCAACACTGAGCAGGCGTGCAATGAGAATCCATCCCACACTCGGGATAGCCAGCCACCTACTCATACCATAAAGTATTGCATTATATAATTGGTTCCTGCCATATAAAATAGGACATTTTTACCACTGGCCGCAGGCCATCAGTGGTGCTGATCACGACCCAACTTATTTCTCGCCTCGGGAGATGATTTGACCTCGTGATATACACAGTAAGTACAACATCTGTGGATAAAGACCCCCCCATTTAACCTATAAACTGCTAAAGAAAGTGATGTTAGTGAACTCCTACTAAGGCAGACATTGCCCATGATAGGGTGGTGAAGCTAGCACGAGGTCTGTGCCCACCTTTGTCTCCTCTAACATTTTCATATCAGGAAACGATTTTAGGCTGAGTCTACGTAGAAGAGGCGCAGTTCACGTTCATAAACCAAATTACCAGTATTGGCGTGGCACGGTCAGAAACAAACCCACGTGTCTGACATCAGAGGGAAATTTAAATAACGCTGACAATCGCACGCGCCCACGTATATTCATTGTCTAGGTGTACAGAATTGCAACACTCGTGTCGCGAACGGAACATACCCTCCCTCATTGCGTTGTTCTAATCCCTTGAGATGAAACACCAGTAATGATGCTATTAAGATAGTCCTTACTGAGCCAAGAGGCTTACAGCACATGTAGAATTTCCGTACTTGCTGGTGCGTTATATATATAACTTGATGCTACTGAATGCGCATTCATATACAGGTATATTCCTCGCACGTTTTGATAGCATGTAGAAACAGGCAGAAATATATTCGTGTTTGTGTTATGGTGTTACCTGCGTGTTATGTTCGTCCACGTGATGGCTCGTAATAGTGTGTGTGCGCTGGAGCCTGCGTGTAGTGGTGATTGCATCTTTGGGATATTTCCATGATATTGTGAAATCTAATCTTGTGAATAACAACAGGGGGATGGATTAGGAAAAAAACGAAGAGGCAGGACAGGCAATACGCTGAGCCTATCACATATAAAGTGTTAAAACCACAATTGTTAATATAAACTGCAAAATTTCGATTTAAAGCTTTCGTGACTGCAGGGATTCACCTTCTTGGTTCTTTTGGTAAAGTCACGTAGAAGGGAAATAATAAAATAATAAAAATAAAACATAATAAAATACAATTCTCATGACGTTTCGGCTGCAACGCAAGCAGCCGTCCTCAGGTGAAGAACAGGGCTGTCGGATAGACAGCGTCATTCACGTAGAAGGGAAATAATAAAATAATAAAAATAAAACAATAAAATACAATTCTCACGACGTTTCGGCCACAACGCAAGCAGCCGTCATCAGGTGAAGAACAGGGCTGTCGGATAGACAACGTTATTCACGTAGAAGGGAAATAATAAAATAATAAAAATAAAACATAATAAAATACAATTCTCACGACGTTTCGGCCACAATGCAAGCAGCCGTCCTCAGGTGAAGAACAAGGCTATTTTATTATGTTTTATTTGGTTTTTTTTTCCCCTTCTACGTGACTTTACCGAAAGAACCAAGAAGATAAACTGCTAAATAATACATTTCGGGAGATGGCACCATCCACTCTGGACTCCCTTGCCAATGACATACTGTATACATCTCGAGGGGTGATCCATATTAAATATTTTAATTTACGAAAGCCAAAGTCAAAACGGTCTACATGCTCATCTATGTGAGTAGCACTCTACCGGTGGTGGAAATTCGACATTCCTATGGTGGGAATAAGTCTCTCCATTGCGCCCACCACCGTGGATTTCCCACATCGTTGTTCTCATGCATTGACCTCTGCATGGATGAATGACTAAATTGACGTTCATCTACTGTCAAATGTATGATGGACCAACGTTTTATTTTATTGCAGTGAAACAGAAACAGATTCTTTCCAGTGTAATCATATTTTACCCAGAACCCACTACCATGGAACCAAATAAACGAGGTGATTCATGTATCGATACCCCCCACGAAAATAACTGGGATAAATGATAGAGAAAACAACATTTAATTCAAAGCCTCTACACGTGCACATGTATGTGTGTGTGAACGTGAGCTGAGTGGACTTGCCGATGATTGGTACCAGCGGTGTCAAGATCAGCCTCTATGAAGGTGGGTTGTGAAGGACGCTACTGGGCAGTCGCCCTCCAACAACAATGGAGGGACAGAGGAGCGATGCTCACAACAACGAACGGAGCGCCGGGCGGATAAAATACAGCAAGTTGGCACAGTAGGGGGCACAGCTGGTGGTTCTGCCAGTCATCTCCGTCAGTCAACCTATGGCACCTGGGTTTGTTCCATGACCTCCTGAGCCTTCGACACTTCACGTGGCTTCAGACTGCACATGGCTTGGCACAAGCGCCGTGGTGACGTGTGGTGCCACAGCGACGGGGCCGCTCTGCCGAGCCAGGGAGCCGCCCGGCTTCCCCCACCGCACTGCCCCCAATCACCCGCCCCACATAAGCACACACCCGCACGCATCCCCCCCCCCCCCATAGAGCTGGAAGGGAAGGTTACCTGATCGACCGGTTTTTATCCGAGAGACCCTTATCGGGATTAATTCTCACGGTTTCCGGCGATCAGGGAATTGGATGACCTCCCCCGTGCTACGTGGTACCGCGGCGCTGCTGCCGGCCTTAATATGGTGTGGTCGCGGCGTGGGGCATTCGGCCACCGCGGTTGAGGCGCATTTCCCCCCACACACACCCCCACGAGTCGACGGGGCAAGCAGGGGAGGCACGGGACAGCATGAATAGCGGGGTCACAGGGGCTGTTGCGCATAGTCATGGAGGGTTGGGATAATTGCGCTTGAGCGCGCAAGCCCCATTGGTAGGAAGGGTAAGGGAGTAATTAGGATTTACGCCTTGCACGCAGCACACTGATTAGCATATCAACAGCGCCTGGGGACTGCCGTGCGCGGGCTTGGGGTGCACGAGCCCATTGTTCAGCGCAGCATCCCCTTTGGGAGGTAGGGAGGATAAATAGAGGAGCGCAGAGGGGAAATCGCTCTCTTACTCCAGCGCCAGGCGACCAGACGCAGCTCGAGCCAGCGACCCGGACGTCCGTGCGACGCACCGAGGCACGCGGTTAACAGAAGGATCAGCGGACCGCCGTGGACACTTAACAGTGAGTAAGAAGGGGAATTAGAATCATAGCCGATAAATAGGGAATAGGTACAGGTTTAGTGGAATAGGCCAGCCTCGTCGACTCACTGATTCAACATCAATTCGCATGTGGCATATAATAAATCATTAATAGCGAAGCGTGGTCTCGCGTGATCTTGTCGTGCAGTGTGAGCGTGTGGGTGCGCTGTGTGCACAGTGGTTCGCCACGTGAGTGAGCGCTGCGCGGAGCTGAGCGCGCGGGTTGCGTGTGGGAACGCGTGTGGTACTGTGTGTGCGTAAGCTCGCGGCGTGCGTAATCGGCGTACCCCAGGTGCGCGATTGTAACGTGAGCGGCCAGCGCGGCGCAGAGAAGCGCAAGAGTGAGTGCCGTACAGAGCTGTGTGTGTGGGTGTGCGCGTACGTAATTAACCATGCCTGCTACGCGGACCCGCGGTGGAGTGGAACCCTCGGGCGACGGCTCCCACACCATGGGTGAGGAACTTAGCAGCGGTTCGCTTAGCAGCGGGGGGGCGATTGATGATGCTAGCCCGGCCGTTAGCATTATCGAGGGAGGGATTTCGGGGGCTAGCGACCCCCACAAATTGGTGTCAGAAGCGGTACGGACCCCCGCGTTACCTCACGCTAAAATAAGACTAATATTTACCGGCCGGGGGGCCCCTTCGTGGAAGGCATTCGCCCGCAATCTCTTAGGGGCCAAGGAAATTAATGGATGGACGGACGCGCAGGCAGTACGTCAACTTAATATGAATCTTGATGGGCGGGCAGCCGATTTTGTAGAAGCGTTACCCGCGAGCGCACAGACACAGCTAGAGGAGCTGATGCGCCGACTCGATCAGCGTTTTGGCACGCGTGACGAGGAGGAAGCAAAATCGGCCTTAGAGGCGCGCCGGCGCCAACCTGGCGAAGATCTACGTGATTATGCCGAGGATGTGCGTGAGTTAACAAAGATCGCACGCCCGGGGTACGCAACTGATGTTATTGAGGAACTGGCCGCCGAGAAAATCCAGCGGTACCTGTCTCGCACGGCGTGGTGGCAGCCAGACATGAGCTGCCCACGTCTTCCGTTTAACACCCTTGTCGAGCGCGCACGTAAGTGTGAAAGAATTCACAGCGAACGCGCGCAGCTCCGGGGGCTGGGACGAGAGCGCGCCATTGCGAGCCTGCTCTCGGAAGACGAGGAGGAGGGACAGGAGCTCGCGAGGACGGTAAGGGGCCGGGAAAGAGAGCCACAGAGACCCAACGAGACGACCCCGGGGTGGGTAGCCGGGTTACAGGCCGGCATGGGAGATATGATAACCCAAGTAGGTGAAAGGGTAACCCAGGTACGCGAGGAAGCAAATAAAAATATGACCAAACTGCAATCCTCCGTTGAGACCATCCGATCCGAAATGGGGGACCTACGCGCCACGGTGGGAGGGTTATCTGGGAGGGTAGCCCGACTAGAGGCGGAGGGTGGACAGCGGCGTAATGGGGGGGGAGGGAGCGGACAGGGGACCCGCTACGGAACCGCCCCCCCTCCCCGGGCATGTTATATGTGCGATCGCCGAGGGCATCTAGTGAGGGACTGTCCTGAAATCACCCGAGCGAGACAGACGCGGGGGGTTAAACTCCAACGCCCCCTAGAGAGCGGACCAACTAGGGGTGCAATCGACGCGGTCCCGATACAAATGGACGATAATGAGAATAATGGCGA